AGCGCCGCGGCCGGTCGCTACGGGTCGCCGGTTGGCTACGGTAGGCATCCTGATGCCCGGTACCGGTGCTCGAGCATCGTAAAAGCGCAGCGCTACCGGTACGATACCGTCCAGGTATTGTACAAGTACGCGAGCAGAAACCTGTAAAATCATTCGCTCCTCCCCGACATGGATGGATGTATGCTCGAATGGGGAGTGAGGGTTTGAAGCTCTTTGACATCATATCGTATCGCTGCCGCATCGCCCACCAGCATCATGCTGGCCGTGATGGGGGTTCGCTCAGGCTCCTTTGAGTTGGCTGATGGCTACGGTATGGGCCTACGCTCTGTGGGGTGGATGATGGGATGGGAGTGATTGGATTTCCCTGCCTGGTCGCTTTCGGCCTCGTGACACCCCGTCGACCGTACCGAAGGACTCGCAGCCCCTGCAGGTTCCTGCATGACTTCTTACGGTCTGACCGCTTTGAGGAAACTAAGACATCTGCTTTTCCTCGCGGTGCGCCCGCTTGAAGCAACCACTAGCGAGGGGGAGAGGGGAGAGAAGCTCCCTCTCACCTCCTCTTCCTCTCTCAGCTCCCCCCCCCCATCTCGGCACCGCCGCTTTCCTTCCCTTTCCTTCCCTTTCCTTTCTTTTTCCTCTCTTCTCTCCTCCCGAGTAAGGATGATTCCTCCTCTTGCCCACCACCATCTCCACTGTATGATACGGTACTCCAGTAGTTTATTTTTTATCCCTCCCACCCCATGCCCTTTTTGAAAAATTTTCATGTCTCGGAAAAAGGTCAAAGCGGGCCTTCTCGTGGTTCCGTGTGGGCTTCCCTAGCCCGATGGCCTGCCCTAAACATAGAGATACCTTGGTAACAGGGCCAGACAAATGAGGGTGGACGATGACGACGACCCGCAAGGTCAACTGCCTTCCAAATTTTGCTCGCTTGGTCGATAAGTCCTTTTGCTTATGGATGTGCTGTGTGGATGGGGGGGAGGGGGGGTGGACGGGTGGGCGGGTAGCTAGGACTCCTACAGTAGGAGTGGCTAGGTACGAGTGGTTGGTCTGGGGTATGATATGATGGCTGGGTACGGCACTGCAAGTACCGTACCCTACCCTACGGCGCAGAGGAGATGAGAGAGGTAGGGATTCATGACAGAGTTGGTGACGGGCGTGATCTGCGCAGTGTACTCGAGTAGAGAAGGTACAAGTACGGTATGTACTTGTATGGTTGGAGAGTCGGGAAGGTTGAAGGTGGCTCCTATGGAATGGCGGTGGTGGTGGATTGGCAATGAGTGATGCTATGTTAGGGGTGGTTTCCGAAAGTGACAGGAATGTTGAAGCTTTTTGGCTGGCACTCTACGGCACTCGAGCAATTCGGAGGCCATCCTTGTACCCCATCTTGTCAGCCGAGACCTTTTCCATCGTCGCACATCGTCAATCACTTCCTAAAAGGCGCGACTCGACTGCACATCATCTGGCCCCTTCCCTTCGGCGACCAGGAGAGATGCATCTGGCCGCCCTTCCCCAGCCATGCATGCGGTCTGTGGGAACCACGAACAGACCATAACATATCAACTCGAGAGAGGGAAAAAGTGTGAAAAAAGAAAAGAAAATCGACAGGGGGACGACCTAACATTTCCTCTATCGTATTCTTCTTCTCTCTCTCTTTTTATTTTTTTACCTTTCCTTTACCCATTACCGGTACGCTACCGCATCATGGGGGGGGGACTTCGGTGGAAACCTTTTTCCAATTCATTTCACCGATTTGCTGGTGGAATAATTGGCGTAATTATTGTGATGCTTGTATTTTCTCTTCTGATGTGCTCCTCTGTCCGGAAACAAGCGGCAGTGCCGAGCCCTGGCTACGGCAGGGAAAAAACTCTTCCGCAAGGTGCAGCACATAGGATGCGATGCGCTGCAGGTTAAGGTTTCTGGGTTTGGGTGGGTTTGCCAGATCTGCTGTATTCGAACCTTGCCAGTTAATTATTTATTATTCGTTATTGAATATGGATTTCCAAGTACCGTACCGGTACCCGTACCAGGACAGTACGCTGTGTACCCTACCCTACTCCACCAGTTTACCCTGAAAAGGTTTGGAACCACACTTTGACAACCACCTCAACTGTACTGCACTCGTGCTAGTATGATACTGGTACCTGTACAGCCTCTTGCTCTACTAATTACCGATATCAGCCCTCTTCTCCTCCACTGTAACCTAGTAGCACATACCGTACCGTAGTAGCCTTGCCCTACCTTACCCCCAAGTTTATTTTCGGCAACACGGACTCACTCACACCAAGCGCACCAAGCCCCCTCCTCCGGGGAGGCACAAGAGAAGGATCTTCGGGACGGAGGTAGGGGTATCCAGAATGGCGGCTTGATGGGCAAATGAGCATCTCCGCGTCCGCAATGGGCACAGTGGAAGGGCTGGCTGGGGAAGAGGGAGAGGGAAAGGAGGAGGAGGAGGGGGGGGGGGATGAAGCGCTATCTCGGAGGGTCACATCCTGAAGGACCTTTTGTTCGGACCAGTAAACTTCTCGAGCTAGCTCCTGGGTGGTGGAGAAGGGTGCACAGTACCACGGGCTCGTGGCGGACATCTTTGACTCGCGAGAGAGAGGCCCAACGGAGATGCAGTCATAAGTAGAGTAGCACCGCGATCCGTTCCTGAATCTTTCCCTGCTCGATGCGTTTGCGGTGTTCGGCTCACTCGACTATATGATATTCCGCTGCTTTCGTCACAGCATCCCTCTCCCCCCTTCAGTCGAGCAAGGCCACGACACAGATCCTACTCACTACTGACCTTTTAGACTTATCCTCTCCCTGCGGTACCATTTCACCCCCCCCGTCCAGCTCTGAGGATCTTTGTACACATCATCATCCGCACGATTACATCCAATACACACGGGCGACATACCCACCATTTCCCCTCCTTATTGTTTTTCGTGACGACTGCTCGCTCCACCGCCGCCGCCCGAAAGTCCGGTTTACGAGGGTTGAAGAGTCCAGGCACAGAGAGACATCTACTATCTATTGCTACCAACCACAAGTACCACTACCATTACCACAACCACTACCACTACCACTACCACTACCACTACCACTGCCACTGCCACTGCCACCTGCCACCGTACACACCATTATTTTCTTTTCTCCACTTCTCGCTACACAGCAAAAGTAAGCAACAGCGGCTAAGGATTGTTGGGGGTGGAGGAAGGAATAACAGCGGAACCATTGCTTTTGTTGTGGATTGGGCGTGTTGAGAGAGTGTTAAAGGTATTATTATTCTGAAGGATTGGCTGCTGCTGCTGCTTTCTCACGGCTGCGGTCACCTCTATTTTATTATTTGCTATCGTCGTCGTTCTCCTCTGCTTTTAATACGAGTACGTGCCACTCACAAGAGTTTTACCTTTTTTTTATTTTTATTTTTATTTTTTTAATACTATCATTCTTTTGGGGATAAGGGTATATACACTTTCATCATCATACCTACAACCTACCCACTCCCCGGGTAGATCTACATCACCCTGTTCTGTGTGAGCGCGGAGGTTTTGCCTGGACTTCAGAGCATCACAGATCTCAGATCAGATCGGGGATAGGAACCGTACTGCTACCATACTCCAGACACCCTCTTCTTTCCTTTTGATTGCCCAGCTGCCCGCTATTTCCCTTTTCCGCCTCATATTTTTCCCCCCCTTTGCTTGCTGTCTCGTCTACATAAAGTTTTCAAGAGCCTCTTATCCAAAACCCACTACCATATCTCGATCATACCCATCCATCTCATACCAAGGTACATGCCCATCACATTCGAGCTATCATCCCTCTGCCCTTCTCCCCTTCACCCCCAATCCACCCCTCCCGCGTTCCAATCACCCCCCCCCCCCCTTTCACCCCCCTCCCCCCCCCCTTCCCTCTCTGTGCTCGAGTATTTCGGGTCCCTGAGATTCAGCTAGAGCTCCTCATAACAGCGCCACCACCCCTCCCCTTCCATTGCGTCTCCCTCCTCGCCACTACTCTCAAACGCTGCACTCACTCCTCTTCACCTTACTTACCTCTGACAAACATACCCCCCCCCCCTCCTGCCCGTGCATACCTTACCCTTGCCTCACCACCAGCTATATACTTGCCTCCTCCGAGCTTTGTTACCCACCGTGCATACCTGCTAGCACACGAACTCTGAGTGATCGACTTTATCTCATACCGTCGACTCGCAGCTTCTCACATTTGTTTAAAGTTCAAGGGGGTTGCGGTGTCAGAGGGTCATTTTGGTCACTAACAGTTTTAGTTTTTTTTTTGGTGTTGCGTTTTGTGGAATAGTATTGCTACGCTGTAGTCACCAACTTATTTACGATAACCCACGCTCACATTCAAATCACATACTACCCAGCGGTACACACACCACCCTCACTCACTCGCTATCAACCATACGCTATACCCCCCCTTGTTGTTACGCTACTTGTACAGCTTCCCGAGAGACCGGCATCGAGCGACACAATCCTGGGCACTCACACTACCGCTTCGCACTAGTACGCCCTCCGCCTCCCTCACACACCACCCACTCATCCTCCATATCCCAGCCCCAGGAGCCTCGTTGTGGTACACCGGTACCTAAAGTTACTATTTTACAGTGCTATACATACCGTACACCCAGGAGATCTCGCTCCCCCCCCCCTCCACTACCACCACGTCCCTCTCCCGTTCCCCCCTTGACGCTTTCTCCTTCCTCCTTCCTTCCTTCAACGACGCCGCAGCCCAGCGCGTCCTCCCGTCCAAACCTCTACGTCAATAACCGTGGCAGTCAGCGCAGTACCATTACAGATTCAAGTCCCAGAGGTCTGATAATATTTCGTTTCGTCCTCTTTCCATTTCCGTGGCATTCACCATCTCGAATTTCATGGTATTCCCTTTTGTTTCATTCATTTTGTTTTATTTCCATTTTGACTATTGTCTTGTCCTTTGTCTCTCTCTGCTCCCCCCATCTTTTGCGCTGTTAGTTGGAGGCTAAACATCTCTTGCGCATGCAGCCGGCTTTGCTGTCGCCTTACGCCTTCAACGAATTTCGGCAGTATCCAAATCTGCGAAACGGGCTGAACGAGGACGGCCTCCTGGCCAAGTCAGGCTTCTCGGCCGGGGTCGTCTCAATGTCGGCCTACGGGAAATCCCCTCAACAACAAGCAGGTATATCTTAACCGCACCTATAGCCTCCCCCCTTATGTCCTCGCCCTGGAAGGCTTGTCTAATCTATCCTTTGTCTGCAGAATATGATACGAGACCTACGCAAACCCAGCACCTCCCGAATCCTCAACAGCCCGCCTATGCTTATAACCACTCTCAGGCTCATTATGTACCCCCACCGCAGCAGCCCAGTCACATTTCTCATGGCCCACCACCGCCACAGCAACATTCTAGTAGCTTGAATGAACCCCCTTATCCCACTCAGGGGTTTGAAGATCAGGGCCCAAGGGTAATGGGATATCGTCCCACACAGGGAGCCGAGGGAGGAGCCTTTTCCGTGCTTCTACAATCTCCTACCGATTTGACTACTGACCCTCGCTCCTTCCGATTCATGTTCGGCTCACGAAGGTGCAACACGACTGTCTGCAGAGAGGAAAGTGCCGGGATGTATCGGTTGACGGGTGAAATTCCAGCCTTTTCGTTGACGGGTTGGGTAGCCCCTCAGGTGACGGTCTATTTGAACATTGAGGATGCCGACGGTCAGGAGCTGGACACGTTCGATGTTGGCACCTTCACGTACACGGATATTTCAGCGCAGCAGCCATTTAGCTCACCTCCCAGGGGGAGTCGAAAGCGGAAGAGCACCGTAGAGCCCGATGAAGCTTCATCGAGGGGTCCAGCAAAGAGACCTACCAGCCAACCAATACGCCCAAAGAGTGAAGATTACGGCTACGGTTATTCCCCTGCAGGCCCGAGTGGGATCCCTCCATTCGCGCCACACTCCAACGACGATAGAGGCTATCTTTACTCTGGGTATAGCCCCGAACAGTCCGCTCAAGGTCCTGGATATCGCCCACAGACGTCGCCGCCGCGGGCTTATGGCTATCCCTCATACCCAGCTGGTAGTTCGCAGCCTGCGCAGACAGGGCAACCATGGGTTCAACCGTATCCGGTGCAGCCATCGGGTGCGCAGCCATCCGCACCGCGACAAATGAGATCAGACTCTTCCCCCAACCAGCCTCCTGCTTCCTTGCCCTCACCGTCCAACACACCAAACCCAACCTTGATCAGGACATCTACTTTGCAACAAGCCGCCCACTCGGCTCCACCCTCAGCGCAAGGAGGGCCCAGCGGCACAGGCACCGGCTTCAACCCTTACGGGCTCTATCCAGAAAAGGCAGTTCTCGACATTCAGGGAGAGCTGGGGGATATGGCGCGAAATTGGAATCCCGAGGAGTGGGACAGCAGGAGGAGATTGGTGCAATTCTGGCGACGACAGAAGGGGAGCACGATCCACACCACATTCCGACCCGTGGCGCCAAATGACAGGCAACCAAATAGCATTTGCATCAGTTGTATTTGGTGGGCGGAGAAGTCAGAATGCTTTGTCACTAGCGTTGATTGCATTTATCTACTGGAATCCTTGATTGCCGTACGGTTTACGGTCGAGGAGAAGAACCGAATTCGACGGAATTTGGAAGGCTTTAGGCCGCTGACCGTATCGAAAGCCAAGTCTGACAGCGAGAACTTTTTCAAGCTCATCATGGCTTTCCCCAACCCTAAGCCTAGAAATATTGAGAAGGATGTCAAGGTTTTCCCCTGGTCTGTACTAGGGCATGCTCTGAAGAAGATTATTGGTAAATATGTAGGCCACCCCCTTCCGTAGCCTTCCCCCCCTATTGTGATGCATTGCTGAACATTCCGACAGTGCGCCAGTTACTCCTCAACGGCCTCGGTAATTCCTGCTGCTCCAGGCGCTTCTGCATATCCCGGTGGATCCGTGAACGAACCGTCACAATCTGGTTCGAGTGAGACTGCAGTCGCTCCAGTGCCCTCGCCCCCGACGGCGGCAGGCCCGACGTCTTCGTCATCTGGGGTATCAGCAGGTCTAACCGGAACCGCGGGTCCGCCGCCAATAAAGCAATCATCTGCCACCTCGTCCCCCTCGACCCATCGCCCTGGCGGTCCATCAGACTTACCAGCTCATGTTCCTGCATTGCCACCGCCATCCGCCGGTCAACCGGGGCAGCAACCCCTCTGGCACCCCCACCAACCACTTGCCCCGAGCCAGCAGCAAATGTCTGCGCAGGGGCAGCGTCCCTCATGGGATCTAACATCCTATCTTGATCCTAGCTCTGCACCGGGAAATACCGCAGGGACACAAGTGGTTCACTATCCGCACGGGCCCGTTACAGCAGAAGGCCGAGAATCGGTTTCGGGTACTGCACAGCAAGGCCAACTACCGGGCGATGTCTCTTGAATATTCAGCACTTTTTTTTCTAATATTATACGGTTTTGAGCGTTTTGGCGAATTTTAAAGGGTGCACATTTTTACATGCATCTCTGGGTGTTTTTTTTATTTTATTTTTGGCGCGGCGATTTTCTGGTTTGATCATACCACTCTGCACTGCATCTGGTGGTTTCCTTTGTTTTTTTCTGGTTGCTTTTTGTATGCGGAATGAGTTATTCATTTTCGTAAGGTTCGGAATGATCGGCGCACATGATTGCCAGGAGAGAGTTACAATGAAGAGCCGTCGGTTATGGAACTCAACGGAGGGAGGGGAAAACGGACCGGGTAGGGGGGGGGGGGAGAAGGGGAGGTTTTATGAGAGTTGCAGGGCGTGCGCTTTCATGCCACCTGCTATGGTCGAGTTCGGCGGATCGTCAACAGCAACATCTTACTGCACATTCATCAACCCCTTTCTTTCTTGCTTTTACACGGTGCGAGTTCAGCTGAACCCACTGTCTTGGCAGCTCTAACCGCCATAAATAAAAGTCACCTTGTACAACCTCGCCATCCAACCAATCCTCGCTCCAGCCTCGAAAGCAATGAACATCGTTTTCTATACTCTAACGATGGGGTCGTGTGAGTGTTTTTTTTTTCTTCTTTCCTTTTTTTTTTTTCTCTGGTGAAATTTACCTTCTTTGAATTCTTCTTGTTTTATTTTATTTTCATTCCCAAAAATGATACCATATACTCAGTGGTCTTTGTTTAGTTCACCTTTCACCAATGCGCTTTTGTACTCAATACCATTATTATTATTATCTTAAATTAGTATTATTTTTTAAACTTCCTTTCGATATTCCCCTACCCTGACGTTGAGTCATTTTTATTTTTTATTATTATTTTATTTTATATATTTCTCCAACCACACGCACATTGGGCTTGTATCTTCACGTTACGAAACGTCCCCTTTTTTTTCCGATTTTTCTGGTGGATTTTGATTCCCTTTTTTTTTCGGTTTTGCAAAAATTTCCATGGGCGGCCAGCAAAGATGTCTTTTTTTTTCCTCTTTTTCCCCTCCGATTGATATATGCTCTTTTTTCTCTCGCTCCATGGGTTTGGTGGTATAACAAGACGTTCAAGTATCCTTAACAAATGTATGTACATTATATTTTTACTCCCTGGGCGCTTTTCTCTTTCTTTCTTTCCTTCCTTGCTTCCTCCTTTCTTCCCTTTCCTCTCCTCGATTTCTCGCTGCACGGTTTTTTTTTTTGATTTCTATGGTAAGGGGTATACGGTGGCCTGACTTTATTGAAAGCGTCTTTTTCCTTTCCTTTCCTTTCTATTTTTTTCCTTTTTTTTTTTCCCTTTTCTTTTCGATTGATTTATTTCCCAGCGTATGATACTATCTCCCTTTTTCTAAATCTAATGGAACGGATCTGTACCTGGATATATAGTAATGTACCGATAATAACGTTCGCATACCGTATCATATCATGCCGTGAATGCATGCCGTGAATGCTGGAAAATGTGTACAGTACTTGTACCGGTACTAGTTACTAGTACTTGTAATTAGTCCAACTTATTACTTTTCCCATCTTAGCATTAAATTACAAACTCGACCACGGTACAGTACCCGCTAATTTATCCAACTTGGTGCTCAACCCACGTTTACGGTAACAGTTCTAAGTACGGTACGGTACAGTATATAGTACAGTAAGTTACGGATCCTCATGCCCTTACCGGGGAACAACAACCAAACAACCAACCAAACAACCAAACAACCAAACAACCAACCAACCAAACAAAATAAATAGAATACGGTAAATAAACAGAATGCAACAATATTGTGCACAAGTGTAGCGTATTATACTCGTACCTTACCAACTCCGGAAGGGCATGCATAGGAATTTTAGGTATTACGAACCGGTCCAACGGCTCTCTCTCTCTTTCTTTCTTTCTTTCTTTCGCTCTCTCTCACTTTCACCCTCCCTCCCTCCATGGGTAGTGCAACCTCCATGGGTAGTAGTGCAAGTGGGGCCAGTTCAGTTACCCTAACCGGGTTTTCTACGATACCGTACTGAGCTCTAGTATGATACGAGTACATGTTTTTCGTGAACCTTGTCCTGTTTTTTTTGTTTTTTTTCCTGTTTTTTTTTAAAAAGAGTCGGGTAGTTGTGCTAGGGGGGGGGGGGGTTAAGGAATCCTGGCATTCCCCTCGTATCGTTACCTTGGTATTCCATCATGCTCGGGTACCTTTTGCCTTCTCCCTCACGTGGAATGAATGGTTGCGACGCGTTCGTTCGCGTCGGTCGAGTCGAGTTCTTACCATGGTTTGTCCTCCCGTTTACGTGCCTCTGACTGTACCGTATACCATATCACAATTTACATTAAATTTTCTTTACTCAACTTATTATCGTATTCGTGAGTGATGCTTGGCCCTTCGTAAAGTGTTATCGTATCCGGACCCATTATGCTATCTTGGCGTGTCCAGCGCCTTATGGACGCCAAAGTAAGTATCTCGAGGAGGGGGGTGAAGGCCCACTGTATATCCGTGGAGTTTGTCCGATTTCGTGTTTCTGTGTGCACATGAAATATCGGGTGGAGGATTCCGTTCTCTTGCTGTGCCCCTAGGCACCCCACTCTTGGGCTTTTTTTTTTTTTGCTTTTTTCCTTCTTTTGCTTTGTTTTGTCGAGGCGTCCGTGCCGGGTTCTATGTTATACAAGAAAAGTGTGATGGAGGGGTCTAGTGGTGCATACCGATGGATTGATCCGCTGGGAGATTTCTCCTTCTTCTTTTCCTCCTTCTTCTTCTTCTTCTTCTGCTTACTTTCTTCCTTCCTTTTCTTCCTTCCTCATTTTCCACGGAGGTGGGCGTCATGGCACCTGTACTCGTACAATAGTGGAAAGCCACTCTTTCTGGTTCCTGGTGTAACACTGTAAAGTTGAGATGGGGTGGGATGGGATGCAGGTGACCACGAATTGACCGAACACCAGGCCTGGACTGACTGACTGACTGACCGACTTGGGACGGGTCTGCGAGGGGGGAGGGAGAGAGTGAGAGCATCGATACTTTGCTGGACATATTCGGAGGGGTCCACCGGCCACCGGTAATTAAGCACTGTCCCTCTCTCGCTCGGTAAGTTGAAAAGTCTAAGTTAACCGATCCCACCCACCGTTTTGTGCTCCCTACTGTGCAGGAGCGCGGGCTGGTTGGTGGGAACATCCACCACCAATGTAAATTTAGAGCACCGATATCGCTCAAGAGGACTACTTACGGAACGGCGAGGTGGTACAGTGCAAAGCTTTTGTTTGCGGCGCCGGGGCCTGAGCCGTAGGGCGCGATGGGTTGGATGTCAATCAAAGTGCGGTAGAGTGGGGTTGGGGTTAGGTTACTGTAGGTTTGGCTGTGGCACGATACCCGTGTGATATAATACTAGCCCTCGTACTGTAGTAAGGAGTATCATACAAGCACACGCCCAAACACAGAGATTCGCGAAGTATCTGGCAGAAGGAATCCCTACATACCGGTATCTGAGCGTCCATACATATCCACGACCCCTATTTCTCGATGCTTCTCGTCCCCCCGCGAGCACCGGTATACCTGTGTATCTATCTGTATACTTGGACGAGTGGACTCCTCCTGTACCCACCATACCATAGACCCATTACACAATCCACGTGAGTCCTCAAACGACGCAATGATAAAGGGAGAAACCGCACAAGGTTGCGATCGTGATTACCGTTCGGAGTACAGTAACTCGACCAGCTAACCCCTTGGCACTCTGCAATCCCCTCCGCTCACTTTCTTTCTTTCTTTCTCTTTTTTCCTTTTTCTTCTCTTTTTTTTCGCAGGGCGCCATCCGTGTACCGACCGGTAACGGACCAAGTTACCGTATCAATGAGATAGATGGACGTCTCCCTGCTGTAAGCTGCAAGGAGGCGAATACGGTATGGCAAAGCGTTAACGAACCATTTGCTGCCGGGATGGAGGGGTAGGAATTGTCCGCAGGGAAGGGAAGGGAAGGGGAAGTGAGTGTTGGTTGGGAGAGCATGCGGTAGGGTTGTGATGGCCCCGGAATGGGAATCAGCATCGGTATCATACCAGCATCTATGATACCGTGTTGCTCAGAACCCCCTGTCAATGGCGAATAAGTCCAGATCCTGCACAGGGAGGAGAGTTTACAGCAGGCCCTCAAGCGATTGGGAGGATGGGAGGGCTTGCAGAAAGGCTATCACGATGCTTTACGCTCTATCTGTAGCAGCTATCGATATGATACCTTGTCCATCCCATACATATATACGTGAGCTTCTGTACCGGCAACCGCTTGCGGTAATGGGCCCTCGAGTTTTGAAAAACAAGATTCCGTAGAGAATCGCTAATACTAGAGAATTCTTTATATTTTTTTTATTCCGATACCGTATCTCATTCCCACAAGAATCGCCAGGGAGGGAGTCCTTGCGCTGTATCATCATGCTCACGGAGTGGGGCATTTTTAACTACAACATCATAAACCCAGATAACACCGGACAAGGAAAGGCCAGAGCAACACAATCCTTCCCTTTTTCCAACAACCGGCTTTCGGTGCAGAGGCACTCTTGCGGCCGAGTCGAAGCCGGACACCCGGGGTGGGGGTGGTAATTCCCGTATGCGCAAGGTGTCCGGCTCCAACTCGGCCCCACGATAGTTGCCGGCGGGAGGACGGGGCTCAGGAAATCTAGAATCTTGTGATGATGGATGCAAACCAAAACATCATCTGCCGGCCTTTGGGCAACTCTCTTCCTCCTCCCCTTTGACTGCGTCTTTTCTTTCTTTCTTTTCTTTCTCGAGATGGTTCATTCTTGCTACCCGGTGTCATGGCATGAATCGCGGTGGACACGGAGGTCCAGCGTGTGATACGTGCTGGGGGACTGGCTAGTACCGGTACGGTAAGGAAGGGAGCTAAGCGAGGTCAAGTGACGGTAAAACATCCAAGAGAAGGGGCGGGTATCGTCCTGTACGATACCGGTGCGGTAGTCTATCTCGGATGCGGTATGGTACAAGTACCGGTAGCGGTACGGTACTGCGTGACATGTTTGATTCATCTGATGATAGCGGTATCATACCGGCAACTTGAACCACCGTATGATATGGAAGGAAATAATATCATACTTGTCCCGTCATAATAATAATATTGTTATTAGGGTACGAGTGAGGGGAGCACCATCTGATAGCTTTATTCCCCTATGCGGTTTGTTGCGGTGTGTGGTCCATTGGGATTATGACCCTTGGCAGCGAAAAATGGAAAAGGGATGATGAGATATGGCGCTTTTTTGGGACGTTTTTTTGATTGTTTGCTCGGAGGGTGTTAGGGTCCGAAAGGAAGGGTCTTTGATCTAATTTCTTGGTCTCATGCTTGAGGGAGAAAAGGGTTCTATCGGGGGAGGAGGGAAAAAAAGTTACTTTCACGTAACGGGGCTGTTTTCGAACGCCCCCTCTTTTGGTTAAAATAGCCCCGCTATTTATCCATCCATCCCTTCTCCATCCACCCAATCCACCCCCAAATCATCCCTCACAACTATCTGCCATCGGCGAAGGGGTAAACAAAAGAAAAGAAAAGAATCACACCAAGACAGCCACCGCTCTCAGGAGGGAGACCTCTTTCCCGATCATAAACAGGGAACAGACAGACAAAAACATACCGGTAACGAAGCGAGACGAAAAAGAAAAACAAGAGGGGGGGAAAGGATGCCCACAACTCTATTCTTCGTCACCGGCAATGCCAACAAACTCGCCGAAGTAAGTGCTATCCTGGCTGCTAGCGGGATAGACATTCAGAGCAAGGAGTTGGATTTGCCTGAGCTGCAGGGGACCATAGAAGACGTATCGAAGCATAAAGCTAGACGTGCGGCAGAAGTGGTAAGTGTGGGTGTGTGCATTTCCCCTCCCCCTCCCTCCCTCCCTCTTCCTTCTCCGGCTCCTCCCCCCCCCTCCTCCCCTCCTCCATTCCCCTTTGCCGCATTCACGGGGAAAAATATATATTTAGTGGTGGTGACGGGATATGCGCTTACGGAATTGTTGTCATTGTTGTGACGCTATCACAACAATTTAGATAGGTGGACCTGTCCTTGTCGAGGATACTTGCTTGGGCTTCAATGCGTTGAAGGGATTGCCCGGTCCGTACATGTGTGTCACCCCTCCCCGCCGTAGAGCATGTCGACAATTGTGGCGCTATGGTGCAAGCACCATTACGAAAACAATGGAACAAACGTGCACCAAGCAAACAAAAAAAAGAGAACATAACTCACAACCCGCAATTCCCCTGCCATAGCTAACCAACTAACCAACGCCTATGTGGCGGCGCTCTAGAAAATGGTTCATGAAAGACCTCGGCCACGAAGGTCTCGTGAACATGCTCGCCGCATACGAGGATAAGTCCGCGCAAGCGGTGTGCACATTCGCCTACTGTGAAGGGCCTGGACAGGAACCGGTGCTGTTTCAGGGCAGGACTGATGTATGTGTGATTTTGCCTCTCCCTCTTCACTTCCTTTCTTTCTTTTTTTCAGCAGGAAAAGAAAGGAAGAAGACAAGCGAGACAGTGCTGATCCATCGGTGATTGTTCCGCACTGTGTGTATATAGGGTAAGATTGTGCCTGCTAGAGGACCTGCGAGATTTGGTTGGTTTTCCCATCTCCCCTCGCCCCTTTTTGTCTTGTTTTGTTCGTGTGTCGTTTTGGCATTTTCGGGACTGACTCGGGCATGTTGGCGGTGGCGGCAGGATGGGATCCGATATTCGAGTACAGGGGGCAGACGTGAGCTTCCCTCACTTGCGCTTTTCGCCTCATGGGCATGTTTGGATTTTCGCATCTTGGCTTTGCGATCATTGACTTTGACTTTTTTCTTTTTCTTGATAGATACGCCGAGATGGACAAGGTCATTAAGAATTCCATCTCGCACCGCTTCAAGGCGCTCGAGTTGCTTAGGGAGTGGATGGAAACTCGTCCTTAGATCGCCGGTGATGTGGGGAGTATTGATCTACGGAACTCTAGAGCGCTACGGGGGGGGGGTCTTTTTTTGTCACATTACTATATTCGGGGGCTAGAAACTTGAGATTGATATATGATACCAGATTGGGCACCCTTGAGCGACTTTCACACGCCCTCCGGATTGTTTTCTATCCAATGCCTTGCCCATGCGGATATCCTGTCGACGTTGCTGTCAATCTCCTCTGTGGTATCGCTCCGTAGCTCAATTACAGTTTCCTCGTCGTATGCCTCCCTGGCCTCTTCGAGGATGACCTGCATGATCTCGGCATCGAGATTCTCTTGGAGTTTCTTGTCTGCAGAAGCCATCAGCCACCGTTCGGACAAAACCCCTCGGGTGTAATAGATCGGGGCAAGAAGTCTATTTTTTGCAGGGTTACAAACCCGGATAGTTCCTGCGTCCCAAAGATATAATACGTCAGCATGCAGCCAATCAGCTACTAGCAGTAAACCACCAGTACCGAAAGTGAGAGGTGAGAGAGACACCCACCGTTTCTCCAATCGGTCATATAGAATAGTCGAATCCGCACGTAGCACAACGACAAGATCTATCCAGCTCTCCGGGAACAAATCACATACGTGCCAATCAATGATGCATCCGCCCTCCTTGGCCTCGTTCTCGATTTCGTCCAGAAGCTGAACAGCCAACCGGGCCCCCCATTATCTTTAGCATCGGGAGAGCACGGATATCTGGAACGAACGAAAAAGAAAAAAAAAGGGGGAAGGGAAAAAAAAGACAAGCCAGAAAAACAAACCTTATCTTCGTCGACGATGTGGCTTTTTAGTTCGTCGTCATAACCATCATAGCAGTTACGCTCCTTGACAATATTGTTGATGGAGAGGTGTCTGAGGCCCAGTTCTGTGGTTTGCACCAGGAGCTCACAGTGGCAAGATTTACCTGGGTTGGATTGAGACAGCGTTAGGAATGGTTTCTCAGAAAATTGGGTGGACGGCGGTGGAAACGGAGGTTTCCCCCCCCCGCATCTGTTAATAGAACTGGACGGGGAGGGGAGGGAGGGATAGTGAGTGGTAAGGAATGTCAGATGCGAGATGTGCTGTAAGCTCGCTGCAACGTACCGACGCCGGGGGTGCCGGTGATTATGATGTTTGGCCTTGTGCGAGGCATTTTGGGGTGGGCGTCTTTGGTCCTGGCGGCCCCGGGTCTTTGTTCTCGTCTTGGTCTTGGCTTGATCTGGCTCGGTTTTGTGTTGTTTTGTTTTGAGTTTATTCTGTTTGGTGGGGGCCGGGTTTGGATCTGCGGGGTGCTGTCGGAATCGATTCTTTTTGCCTACCGTATGGTATGATATTCGAACCCTGTACAAGGGTGGTATTGTTACCCTAACCCTAAGCTTCTGGAGAAACTTTAATCCGGAGGTTCTCGGAGAGGGGGGGGGGGTTCAGTCGGGTGGATAGAGAAGGTGGGCACGATGGGAACGGGCGGATCCGACCTGAACAAGGTATGATACCGTACTTGTACTCGTACTTGTCTCTGGTATCGGTACCGTACTCGTACCTGTGGTGTGGCGTCCGGGGAGCCGGCGTCATCTTGCACCCGTATCGGTGCGGGTATCATACGCCAAACAAATTTGAGCATTAAACCGTAGACCGGAATGGTACGTAAAATAGACATCGCCAAGGTTATCACTCGGAAGGCCGAGCATCATACTATAGCTTGGCGGCTCGTGTTTTTTATGGGAGAGCTGTGTCGTAATCGACCTGTTGCTGGTATCACACTCTATCGCACACGGTGTTGTTACCTTGTAAGGTAATTCGAACAATGCTATTCTCAGCTTCGGGTCCTGGGCGGAGAACAGCCGGGATTGAGGGAATCTGGGCGAGTACAGGGGGAACGCGTTGCTTCGAATCACTCGTACCTCGGCGCTCGCCCAATTCACTGGGACGAATATTCTTGCTTATTCCCCCCGTACGAGCAAACTCACATGCCAACGACCAACCCGGCCTCGTTCTCCCCCCCCCCACCGTTCAACTTTTTCTCTCCACACCCCCCCCCCTGTGACGTCCACTTTCCGACAAAATATCCTAACATCGCTGCTTATCTCTCCTTCGCCTCAAACAAAAAGACTTCTATAATTATTATTATTGTCCCCAAACGTGCCTACGCGAATTGTTCGGACCCTATACGGTAGCTTATCATGGCGGGCTCCTCCCGCGTACCCGTCTCCCTACGGAGCTTCGCTTCCTCAAAGAAAGTCGCGGTGAAGAGCTCATCGTTTCTCGTGCTCAACCTTGATCTGTAAGGTCTCCGCTTGCCCCACGTCTGCGCGCCGTCGGAAATTGGGGAGAGGGCGAGAGGGTGTTGATAAATGATAATAATAATGCGAGCTTAGCTGACCGATTGCCATTAAAACGGGGAATAATAAATAAATAAAGATTCCGAAATATCGTGTTTGCTTTCTTCATCCTGCGGCACTTTCGCCGCGCCGTGCGCAAGTTACGTGGTCGCGGCGTGTTCGGAACCTTGGTAGACTTCTATTCAGCCGTGCGGCGGTACTCGTATGGTGTTTTCCTCAACTTCCCCGGCATTAGGTCAAAGGTGCAATCGCAGGTCGATGAGGCATTGAAGAAGTTGGAGGATAGGCTCGTTCCCAAAGGGCCTGGTGTTACCCGGTATCTTGCATTGCCAAAAGAGGGCATGACCGAGCTGCAGGTGAAGGAGGAATTGAAAAAGTATGATATAGCGGACTCTTTGTTGTTTTCCACCCGGCGATTTGGGGGTATCCAAGCTGATGGTGAGTGATCTTTGACGCAAGACTGAGCGAAATGGAACATGTATCGTGGGAAGAAGGAAAGGTCTCCGGTGCCGTTTATCATGGCGGAGATGATCTCTTGAATCTCCAAAGTGAGGCATCTCGTATATTTTCTATCAGCAACCCAATGCACCCGGATATCTTTCCCGGTGTGAGAAAAATGGAGGCTGAGATAGTAGCAATGGTAAGGGCGATTGGCTTGCCACGGAGATTGTATCGGAAATGGTATTGATGCGACAAGTAGGTCTTGGCAATGTTCAATGCGCCTTCCGGTGCCGGTGGCATCACGACAAGTGGGGGCACCGAGAGTATATTGATGGCTTGCTTGTCCGCTAGAACAAAAGCGTACGTTGAGCGCGGCGTTTCTGAACCTGAGATGTGAGTATCGATATGTCTCTACCCATAATCAACAATAGATTACTGATGGTTAGTGCAGCATTGTCCCGAGCACAGCTCATGCTGGATTTGACAAAGCGGGCCATTACTTTGGCTTGGCCGTGCACCGTGTTGCCGTGGATCCCGTAACCCTTAAAGTTGACCTCAAGGCAGTTAGCCGTTTGGTAAATTACAATACAGTTTTGGTAAGTTGTGAATGATTACCGGAACCTACTATTTGCTAATCGGCTGTGATCCAGATTGCTGGGTCAGCGCCCAATTTCCCACATGGAATCATTGATGATATCGTGGGTTTAAACAAAATTGCTCTGAGGAGACGGATCCCATTGCACGTTGACGCCTGTCTTGGGTCTTTCCTGATACCGTTCCTTGAGAAGGCGGGGTATCCAACCGAACCCTTCGATTTCCGTGTCAAGGGCGTAACCTCAGTATCATGTGACACTCACAAATGTTTGTCCCACCAGAAACATATCTCTTTTGATCACTGACAATGTCTCGTGATAGATGGGTTTGCTCCCAAGGGAAGTTCCGTTGTGCTCTTCCGTACAAAAAAGCTTCGATCTTATGGCTATTTCGTTTCTGCTGCCTGGCCTGGTGGGATTTACGCTTCGCCATCTCTCGCTGGCTCCCGCGCTGGCTCGCTTATCGCCGGAACTTGGGCTTCTTTGATGAGCCAGGGTGAGAACGGATACACTAATTCTTGCCGGGACATCGTTGGTGCTGCGAAGGAAATTGAATCTGGTATCCGCGAGCGTCTCCACCCGGACTTGTACATTCTTGGGGAGCCAATGGTCAGTGTGGTAGCGTTCTCCAGCAAGACCCTTAATATGTACGAGGTTGCGGATGAGCTGAGCTCGTTGGGGTGGCACTTGAATGCTCTACAAGATCCTCCGGCGCTTCACATTGCTTGCACCCGCCCCACCGTGTCTGCTGTGGAGAAGTTCTTGAAGGATTTGGAAAAAGCCGTGCAAAGTGTGAAATTGAGGGGCGAGGGCGAGCCTGGATCAAAGGCCGCCATTGGTGAGACTACCGCACTATACGGAGTTGCTGGAAGTCTACCGAACAAGAGTGTTATCAACGCGATGGCGACTGGGTTCATCGATACTCTGTATAAGGCTTAAGCTGGGAGTTTCTGGTGTTGGGTACTGTTGGTATTCTGGAATGGAATAAATGGGGGTCGCCTTGGTATAGATGGGGAAATGGCGGTTTCGGGGGGGTTTTTTTTTGTAATGTACACATACTTGGGCATCCCTTCATTCTTTCATTCTTTCTTTGCTTCGTTTCAGCTTATTTTCTCCTCCTATCACAGGAGCCTTCCGCGTTGGTTCATACGTCTTATCTGTTGTGTTACTGGTTGGCAATACTTCGTTTTCGCGTTTGCAGAAGGGGGGATAACCTCGTTGGGGATAGGAATGGGTATTACCTGAGAGGGGAGGATAGGCATATTTAGTCACAAGAACACAATCAAGACTGGTCTGATATCACTTTAACTATTTCCCTCATTGTGACACTGAAAAAAGACCCCTACTTCTACAATCCAGACAACCACGTTTCTATGCGCGAGTAGTATTTAATATTGTATAACTACCTTATTGTTTGTTCTCAACTGGACGCGATTAGGAATCCAATTTTGCGGGAAAGTTTCCGTTCTCTGTGGTGCTATTAGAATACGTATCTCGAGATATGTTGAAGTTGAAGTGGGGGGGGGGGGGGGACATACCCCGTTGGGTGTCCCATCTCTCGATCCAAGGGTTCGGGCACAAGGACCTGAACGCAAGGTAGAACTGTCATTGCACGCAATTAGCGGAGGTGCAAAAAATAACAATCTCGTACGTGAATATGACAAACCTGCTTGCAGGGAGCGAAATCCTCTCCCTTTGCATTAATACATTTGTAGTAGTCGACGTACTGTCAGCCGCAGTTAGCCATTCTTCGGTACGGCCAAGAAAGAGAGAGAGAGAAATAACATACGTTTTGCCAGCAGTGCTTAGTCTGGTTCTGATGTGGAAATCGTGCATCGAAACCTACGCCCGCCAAAAGAGAAGAACAAACAAAAAAACGTTAATTTTCCGTGTTCACCCCTTTCCATCTCATCGTCACCTCCCCAATCGATCAATCCGACACCAACCGAGTAACCGAGTTAAAGAAGTCCATACCAGCAGTGACGAACTTGAAAGGCTTAGTCTCTCTCTCCTCCTCATCGGACATGGTTATGGTCGTTTGTAGTTTCTGAGTTGGGGTTGCTTGCTCTTTCAGGTTTGCGTTTGCAGCGTGCCAATTGGTGATGATGGTTGCCGGGTGGAAACGACGATGATGGTGATAGCCTGTTTTGCCGCCGTGGGAGAAAAGTAGGGTGAGGTTTGCGGTGGGGTGACGGGGGGCTTGGCGGGGGAGTTACCCGGAATTTGGGGGTGGGCATCTCTCCTTCGCACAGGTGATCAGGGGTGAGCTTTCGCAACGACCGACGGAGGGGAAAGATACTGTATGCGACGATGACGACGGTGCTTTCAAGAGCTGCTTGGGCAAATGCAAGGAGGGGCGCGACGAGCTGTGGGGGGGTTTGGAGATATAGGGGTGTTAGGAATACGAGTACCGCTACCACCGGTACCGGGCGGACCAGACCAGCCAGTGCCCAGGACCTATACAAGCGGAGGAACACCAGCGGATTGTACTATACCGTGAGGTAAAAAAAAAAAGGAAAAAAGACGCCCCCTCCAAATTCCAAGTCTTTTTCCTCTCTCTTTTGTTTTTACCTTCTTGCTGTCTTTTGGTTGTTCATGATTTCCAACCCCAAACAGCCTTGGATTAGCCACATTAACCCTCGCCTACGCCTCAGTCCCGCTCTACCGCGCCATCTGCCAAAGGACAGGCTTCGGCGGCACTCCCATCACCGACCAGGCCCGCTTCACGCCCGAGAAGCTCGTCCCCGTGACCGGCGCCCGCCGCCTGCGTATCACGTTCAGCGCTTCCGTCTCGGACGTGCTGGATTGGAAGTTCACCCCTCAGCAGCGTGAGGTGCGCGTCCTGCCGGGCGAGACGGCACTGGCCTTTTACAAGGCGAAGAATTGCTCCAAGGAGGACATCATCGGGGTTGCGACGTACAGTGTCACGCCGGGACAGGTTGCGCCGTACTTTTCGAAGATTCAGTGTTTTTGCTTTGAAGGTCAGTTTGTTATCTGTTGGATTGGTTGGTTGGCTGGTTGGCTGGTTGGTTGGGCTAATGTTGGGAGGGTTTCAGAGCAGAAATTGAATGCGGGTGAAGAGGTGGATATGCCCGTCTTCTTCTTTATTGATCCCGACTTTCTGGAGGATCCGCAGATGAGGGGGATTGACACTGTTACGCTTTCCTATACCTTCTTCAGTATGTGCGCTCTTGATTGGTTGGCGTAGCCGGGATAATGCTGATGCGATGCTCAGAGGCAAAATACGATGGCAAAGGCAATTTAAGGCCGACAGCTTAGATTTGCTATGTCTTGCTTTGCGGATGGGGCTTGCTGGGAGTCGCTTGGGGGGAAGTCTGGGAGATGGGACGGGGATCTGTATGATAGAAGTGACCCCTGCCCGGTCCCATTATTGGGCGCTTTAGCAGATAAATTATGGAGCGAGTGAGAAATTGTGATACATTTACTCGGATCGCTATTGGGTTGCGATATTTGGGCTTGGTTGGGTTTGTGATTTCTCCGGGGACGATGGTCCAACTAAAGATTCCAGGAACCCAATCAAGCTTTTCCCACGGGTAATACCGCCACGGCACAGCACATGAGGCGGCAACTCAGGCGAGCTTGTGAGCAAGTGGCAACGGATGGCGAATTAACGTACGAGTTAGACTACCGGTACCGTCCTCGGACCCGGACTCTAATACCGCAGAGAAGCGCGAGCAGTGCATCGACGGCACGCCCCCAAAGTGCGAATTCCCATTTCCTCACTCGCCTCGAAGAGCAGGCAGGGAAGGGAGGAGAAGTGCAGCCCTACTGTGCCAGTGCTTGGCTCATTTAGCCGACGAGCTTCACTTTTGCGTTTCAGCTGGCTGGCTCCCACCGGCTGCTGCGTGAAAAATGCAAAGATGCAAAAATGCAAAAAAAGAATCCCAAGTACCGGTATTTGCTTTTGGTGGTGGGGCGGGATCGACCGGCGTGGGAGTGCCATGTACTGTACAGTACTCGAGTACTCGAGTACCGTACCCTACTCGTACGCTGTGTGTGGGCTTCCCACAAAATGCATCATTGCACCCTTAATCCCTTTCTATAATACCGGATGTTATTGCCAACAGTCTGTGGAAAAAAAAAAGGGAAAGAAACCGGCACAAACACCCAAAAGCCTAGTGGCGTAATAGTGGAATCCTGGAGCGAAACATTATCACTTCGAAAAAGAAAAAAAAAAGTGTGATACCAAAAAAGAGAGTATGATATATACGTGACTTGAAGTGAACTATTTGTGGGTGTAGGGCTTATATCTCTGCTGTGATAAGATGCCATTGATGCGATACCGGTACGGTCCAGTACGGTGTTTAAACCGTGGCCAAAAGGAGGAGAATTCGAGAGCTAGAGAACACCACTGTAATTCTATTGCATATCGTGCCACCAAAACCTTGAGGCTCCGGCAGATTTTTTTTTTGTCCCCATATGCATAAGTGGGGTCGAAAAGGAGTGGGCATGGGAGGTTTTGTAGAAAATATATGCACCGGAATTCACACTAAGATGTTCTGTTTTGCCCAACAGAATTCATAGAAGTAGAAACTGCCCGTGGAACAGCTAAAAATGGTGATGGCACCGTCTTCTATATTATACAAATTTCCACCTCGATTCCTGGTTCCGCGGGAGTGGTATAGTATGTAGTTGGGACTTTCAAGTTCTGCCAGGAACACAACTTTCCCGTCTAATAAAAACCGGTCTTGGCGCAATTTTGGGGAGAGCTTTGTTTCCCATTGCTGTGATACTACTCTCTAGGAAATCTGAATTCATTGAGGTAGCGGTTGAAGCCAAGTGGTCTACATTTTTTCTGGACAGTTGTCCCGTTTTTTGTTCGGGTGTTGTTGGTGCTGGAATGGGCATATGGGATTTGGGCCATTTTTGGTTGTGGCCGTTCACTTTTTTTCGGTCCCGCTTGTATCATACCGGTATTCTATCACGATAGAGAGACTTCCATGGATCAGACAAGAGCGCTGTGCGTGACGATTGGCCGAATTGTGACGTCGGGGATGCGGTGCAGGCAGCGGGAGCGGCGGCCATTTTGTCCATCTTCTCCAAACAGCACAGTAGCAACGAACCCCACCACCCCGCCAGAGAGTGCTCGGTAGCCTCAACAAACAAACAAACAAACAAGCGAACATGCAACCAGCTCAGCAAAAATGTTCAGAATCCTCATCCGCCAGACAGTTAAGGTTATTCCCCGACAATTCCAGGTTACGTCCAGGGTGGGCGGGCCCCGTACGTTGGCCCTGCCAGTTACGATACACTCATTCGACGCTATTTCCCGGACGTCGGCCCCCAGGTCTACATCGCCCGCGAGCGCGAGAAAGAGGCTATGGAGCGTGGTGAATACGTGGATATCCACGCTATCGGTAACCTGGACCCGCGGGATTATGATGTTTTGATCCCGGATGTTGATGATAAGAAATTGCGAGGTGAGATTGCGGAGATAGTGGGCATACCATACCACGCGAAGGTGACTAGGGAGGATACCGATAGGGTGATCGAGATCGGCCATTGTTACCTATACGGCCGGACTGGTAGGACTATATTTCCGGCAGTTGTTGGTGATGATGATCGGGCTCATTGGGTTTTTTTCATCGTGAACACTGCATCTCCTTTGACTTATCTTTCAGCCCAACTGAGTGCTCCTCCCTGTCAGCAGGAGGCCCGCTGCTAACTGCTCTAGACGAATGACCTCTTTGGTATCGCGGTGGATGAACTGTGGCCGAGTCTTGTCACGATTGCTGGACATCACTAGGAAGTTTAAAGGTCGCCTACCTGCAGACAATTTTCCGATATTAACCTCCCCGGCATGGATTTTTTTTCCGCCTGAATAGGGTTTCTCAGTGGAAGTGTTAGGCGGGCCTTCTCGGTGTATTGTGTGTGCAGATGGCCGGTTGGGGTGTTGCTGTCCGCTTCCGTCTTTCTGTTCCGTCGTACCCTACTTTCCGCCATTTGTATTTTGCCGACTACGTCAGTGGGTTGACGAGTGACTATCTATGATGTGAGGTTGCTGGCTATGGTATCATATCATAATATCGTATGATACTAGGGAATGGGCAGGACTGCCTGCTAATACTCCCTGTTAGATTATGGGGCACAAAAGTATGTGGCATGGTATGATATGTGTGGTGATACGGTAGAGGGTATTGCGAGGATACTAACTATTCATCTTTTTCTGCAATATACTTGTCTGCTTGTCCGCTCCTGACGTTGTTCGAGTGATGGGGGTTTTCGCCCTTCCTTCTTTCTCATCGACCATTTCGCTCACGATTCTCCGTTTTTGCGGATAGAGGACTGACTGTCCATCTACCAGATCGAATGGCGTGTATCATACAAGTGTTATGAGTTAAGTTAAATCTAATCCAACACAATAGCGCCAAAAGGAGCTTGAGATTACCACCAAAACCCCGGGAAATTTTTACTGCCCCTTTTCTGCTTGGAATTTCATACGGTAGGTGGGCGGGCGAGCCAGCCGGACAGTCAATCGAGTCAATTCCAAGAGCTAGGGGAGAAAAGCAGTCTCTCTCAAGTGCCCTGCAGTCCCGTATCATAGATCCACCCCCCAAGATTCTCCCTCCAAACCGAACCACCTGAAATTTCCCGAGCTGGCGCTACGCTGGTGACTGACTGCAATTTGCGCAGTATTTGTAAAAAAAAGAGTTGCAAAAAAAAAAAAAAAGAAAAGGACATGCAAAAGGGCTGACCCACCCAAAAGCAACCCAGTAATATCGTACATAGAACCGATCAACTGGATGCAGGAAGCACGACGATGCACAAACCCTTACGGGAAAAGATAACTAACTAGAGAGGGCCAGCCAGCGCGTCACACAGCATGAAGCGCACAGCAACAGGAGGTTTTCCCACTGGACGTCGGTAATTATCGGAAATCCCCCTCTGGCGCAAGGCTCAATAAGTAATAATAATGATAATAATAAAAAAGGTGTCCTCTTAGGGACCCCTTTTCCCTCCTGGTGTTCGTCGTCACGGCCGAGCACAGTGGGTCGTTACACCCACGATCATTGACCTCCCCCACCCCAACCCTCCTAACCCCCCGCACACATTTCTGCACGCAGGTGGGGCTTGAATGCGCGAAAAAAAAAAAACTGGACTCTTGTTGAGAGAGGAATTGTCGGGGATGATCGGCTTGAAATTCTGAGCTGGTTGTAAGCACTGAACCCCAAGATGAAGGAGGGCATTGGGGATTTTTGTGGCCACCGAGGGGATGATGTGGGGGAATGCCTGCTGGAAGGCCGGGGTGTATGGAAGGCGGTGTGCGGCAGTGGGAAAGATAAATTAGATAGATAACTTGGTCATGTTTGTTTTGCTACAACAGATCTGGGGGGTCAGCAAGGCTGTGGTGGATAAACAAGGCAAGCAACTCTGGCCAGGGAACGGGGAGAACTAGCGCTGGTGAGACGTGATGCTAACTCACTTGTAAGGGGAACAGCTTGTGCGACCGCTCTGAAGGTCAGAACATACCGTTGCATGTTTTTACTCTGACTCTGACTTCCTGGAAGGAGCAGTCGTTAACGAGCATGATGGGTCACCACCGGCTGGAGGAGGTTTTTGTCGGAATGGAAAGGATTCTGAGGAGGGGGGGATATCCCGGGTATATCAGGGAAAAGGAGAGGCCATAAGTGGGTGGGGGTTGCAGCTTCGTCATGTCGTGAAGATTCCGCAAGATCTCACACCCGCAGGTTTGCGTGTAATATCGCCCTAGGCAAATGTGCTCGAGTGCATCGATTCATGCTCCTTGATTCGCTGAAACGGATCCCCGAGGAGTGTCCGGGTACTGGAATATTCGTGACCTGAGGAGTCTATTATTCGCCCGGGATCGGAGGGAGGAGCTCCTTGCTAGGTGAATGCTACGCTTGCCTTTACGCCCGAGGAGAGATGACATTATTTGATACCTTCGTATTGGATGAATGAAGGTCTGGAGGAAGTAATTCTTGGGGAAATTTCTGGAGGGTATATCGGAAGTGTACAGTAGGTAGGGGAAATGATACTGGAAACTCTGCCCTGGGTTGCCCACTGACAGATTGTGTTTAGATTTCCACCGGTTCCCTTGAATACCAGAGCAGCCCTATAAGAACCAACGCCCCTCCTTGGACGCCAAAAACTCAACGCCATGACAGGAAGATTAAGTTTGGGAGATGCTTATCGTGCCATGATACAACGTGCAAAAGCTGAGATGGGGGTAGATCAGGGCTCAGATTGTGGCTTTGGTGTGGATCTATTATTCAGAGCTCTCCCATGCCCTAGTAGTCGAGCTAGACTCGATGCAAGGCTCCCATAATTTCAACTTCGTTGGGCTGCTGTCAAGTGCTTGATACATTGGATCAGGAAGGTTAGACTGTGGCTGGTCTACCTTACCCTCAAAGAGTGTCTCTCCTCCGCTCATCCGAACCTCAGTAGACCCTCTCGACGGTGGGTGGGAACCTGCTTGACCTACCTGGGTTACTAACAAGGTCAGGCCCCTTTTAGTCTATCCCACTTGCAAACTCCGGGGCACCCCCGGATGAAATATCGCGCCATATTGGGATGCCATGCCAAAAGAGGAGCGTGGATATCCTCCCGCGCTGAGGGCTATGATGACAACGCATCCTCTAAATCACTTTTCCGACTAACTTAGCACAGATTTTGGAGGACCATGATTTTCCACCTGCTCTCTGATCACCGGGCTGCTCCGTCTACCCCACGTATCCTTCGGAATTTTTAAAGTGTTATAATATCGGCGCGGGGTTTTTTTTAGAGCTATGCGCCTCTTAAATGAGCTGTTACCAGTGGTCATGGGGCGTTGGTCAAATTGCTACTAGGGCTGAGGGAGGTGGCATCCCGGCAGGCAGGATAAATGGGTTAAAACGCAACTCTTGCGTGCTACTTCATATGGGCATGAAAGAGAGAGGGAGTGGTGGAAATATCACTCTGGAGGGAAGAGGCCGACTCGGAAAACCGGATAGTTGTAACGACGGAAAACCACTCACGTCTGCCACCGGTACTGAGTATTGGGGGGGGGGGGGGTACTGGGGGCCCTACTTTTTGATGTAAAGGGGTCACCTTCGATAAGGTGGATGAACAGGACGAGCCGAAACACCAATACCCCTTACTGCTAGGAGTGGCTATGGGGATTTGCTGGCGAAATTACAGTCCCTCGAAGAAACCTCACCCCCCCAGCACAATTTAAGGGCTGGGAAACGCTATCGCCATTATTATATGATACTATTATACCTTCGAACACCGGTACCTGGTCTCATTTTCTGAGGATCACCCACTCTTGTATCACAGATTATTCGAGCGTACCACTAGGTCGGGTGTTGTCAAGGGCCTGGATTTAAATTGAGGGAGTAGTGTTCCCCCCCCAAAAAAAAACCTCCCCCAAAAAACTCTACGACTCCAAAACCACCCACCCCACGGATGTGGTTTCAATTTATATTCCTTGAGATTGCAACATTTAGGCTTTGTTATTTTTCCAGTTCATATGGCGCATCTGGTGATTTCATTTGTCTTTAATACTAGTAATATCCATTGCCCAACGATCTCTGCCGGAGTCGAGATAAAATAAAAAAAATAAATAAAATCTGCCATCAATCTATCTGAGAGGCGGGAGTGGTTTCTATTCAATGGCATGAGTCCTAGAAGCTTTTATATATGGGGGGGTTTGAGAAAATATCATAAAGCGATTTATATCGGCAGCAGCCCACTGTCCACACACACTCGGCTTTTCGAGGATCAGAGGTGTTGCTGTGGAACAGGAGTATCGTGGTAAGGATAGATGTATATAATATTATTATTATTAAGTCGGGCTACTCATGGGGGCGGACCACTGGAGGGATTTGTATATCACCGAGATGTATATTTTGGGAAACCGATTGGTTAACCATTAAGTTGGAGCGGGAACACACTCGTACAGGTACTTAGTTGTACGATAGAGAAGTATAATAAGCAAAAACAGAAAAAAACTAGCTGAGGAAATGGACTTTTTTTTTTCTTCTTTCCTTCTTCGCTGTGAACCGAGAAGTAGTTTGAGGGGCCCAAGACCGCAACACAGGTCTACACATCTAGCAATGTGATCACCGAAAACTGTTTCTCACGTGTAATATCACACAACCTCATTCCCGGAATTGGATGACCTTCGGGCCTGTCTGTCTACATTACAACAGCAAGGGGATCGATCAGCCAAGGATTGATGCACGAGTGATTTCTTATGATAACACATCACTTAAATTTTTTTTTTTTTTTTTTTTCAGCGGTGGCTAGGTTCGGGATGATTGATTGATTGATTGCTGGCAAACCGTTCTGTTATTATTTTTCCAAGAATTTCCCGGTACCGTGTGAGATGCCCCTGACGGTTGGACAGAGGGATTGTGTTCTCGCCGATCTCTGTCTGCCTCACAGGAATCCACGACGCTGACACTACGGCAACTACTGTTTCATTGGGAGAGATTCTCGGACAAGCTTCCGGCCGGGAGAGAGCTTGAGATTGGGTGAGTGCGGATATCATATCACTGAAGGGATGTTATACCTTTTACTGGCAGAAACTATTCGTGATACCTGACGTTCTTGCGGAAACACCTTCAGTCGATGTCGATGGTGAAGGGGTGGTTTGATGGGAAATGGCGAGCCCCACGGGCCCATTGTTTATCCTGTGCTGGGAAGTCTGTACATATAGCATCCGAGATCTGCTGTTGTCTTTTTTTCTAAATCAGTGGGGGGCAAAACTGTTTTTTTATCTTTTTTTATTTGCTGATCGTGGGCTTTCTGTCCCTGGGGGTATGGTCCGGAGAAAAGGATCCTATGATATTATACAAAATTTCAGCGGTGCTGGGCCTGCCCGCGGCGTAGTGGGAAGGTTAGAAGGTTATCTTCTTCAACCTTCCAGTCCCCATAAGACAGAATTTGTTGCTCTTTCTGCCCCGCATGATCGTTCGGCAGGGACTCATTACAAAGTAGGGATTGAACTCCCAGGCTCTTACTATCTGTACAGGAGTTAGATCTTTCTTGACTTATTGGCCATTGTGCTAGCTAGATATCTCGCGTAATGCCACCGTAGAATGAGTACCTATCCCGCTAGCAGATGGATTCAAGTTTTTCAATCCCAAGATTGAAGATAACGAGATTACATTATTAAAGGTTCAATGCCTTATAACAGTAGATAAATCCCAAGGAAGAGGAAACTCCGAGAGTTGATCACTGGTCGCTGGGGGCCAACCGAAAACCCCTTCTGTATAAGGGGGTTGTCGCAACAAAGATATCAACGTTGAAAGGGTGGTGGTTTCGCGGTGGGAAGTAGGCAACTTTGAAAGGGTTCGGGAGTATACTGTAGGAGGGGTCTAAGAACACCCGGCACCGTACATTGACGAGCGCGGAACGGAAGAGCACTGCAAATTTCATAGCCTATAAGACACCATTTTCCCCCTGCCTCAGGGCGGGCGTTACGAACGGCACGCCCGGACACACCTCCGGATGACAACATGGATAAGAGCCGAATGATACTTTATGATGGTGATATTGCTAAACGGATATAAGATCACCAGTGCGATAGCCTACCCAAAGCGTGACGACAACAATGGGGGGAAAGAGGGAAGGAATGGGAAGATTGAGGGAATAGAATTGGTGGAGGTTTGAGAAGGTGGGCGCGGTGCTTCTTATAACATAGGGTGAGGTTATGAACGGGGAAGACGACAACTCGGGTAAAGAGTGCCTTTAGTCATTGGTGCCTTATCCTTTCCAGAGCTGTTGTGTAGGTATGATATCACAAAATCCGTCTGTAATCTCGTAGAGCTTTTCTTCTCTCTACATGGCCCCCATTTGTAATGATAGATGGATTTACGGGGTAACATGACTGGAACTTCAGCCCACCATTAGCTATAGAGCCACACTGTATAGGAATTCCTCGTGGTAACACCATCCTTGCGTTTCAGAAAAGTGTCTTGGAATTTCCGGCACAATTTCTAACCTGAGGCTATCGCCCATCGCTCCAGGACCTAAGCTGCTACCCAGTTGTCATCAGGTGCCACTCCGTGCCCCTCAATAGGTTATATAGAGGGGGTGTTTGCGTCCAAGGGGGGATCGGCTTTTGATTCTAGCTTCGTACGAGGTTCGGGGTTGCCTTTGACTGCTGGGCAAATGGTTATGGTAGTGATGTTCGAACCTATGATACCGATAACGGTGTTTTGGCTGTTATTATTGCCGTTGGGAAGGCATTCGTTGGGACTCTGATTGACACTTCTGAGATGGGAATGAGATGGGTTTTCCTGCTTCGGCGGTACTAGCGCTGGGGTGGAAAAAATGATGGCGGAGACACCCAACTTCTGTCTCTTGCGGGTTCTACTATAGTATGATACCGTGCAAGTACACGGTATACAAAGAGGTAAGGACGATACATTTCGCAAACAGCGTCTGGCCATTGCACTTGGTTTGAGCATTCATCTCTAAGTAAAATGCAAGTGAGATATAGGGCACGCATCCTTCGAGACCCTGCGCTGTCCATCATCAGCCTTTCCCCTTCTCCCGCCACTGCCGTTATCCTTGTCAAAGCTCTTCTCCTGAACACATCGTGCCGACCATCCTGCTGTTTTCCTCTTTCGTTTTTCCTTTTTTTATTCCCTCTCTTGTGGATATGGTTCCTCGCCAGGTTCAGAATTGGGCCCTGTAGCTACCCTAATATCAGAATCAATACCTGAATGCCGGCGAAATTAGATATAACCAGTAGTATTCCATAAGTTCATAGATCCGTGCGCTTAGGGATGACAGTGTAAAAGACTAACGGATTTAAACCCCCAGTGAGCGCTAGTACCATATTGGATATTTCCTAGGGGAAATTTACCGTGTTCCAGTAGTGGACCGGGTTCCATCATTAACCTATTGGAATGGCAATATGTCAACTCTCAGCTTTCTCAAAACCAAGTAATAGTCTACCGGTAGTGTCCGTATCTTCTTGTAAAAGCCGGATCCTTGCTGGTGCTGGGGGCCTCGCCCAATTGCCTTTTGCAGTTTGATTGAAATGTGACGATTTGGTGGCAGCCACGCCCTCTAGTTAGCTTGGCTACCCTTATGCAGCTCCCAAATGGTACTCAAGTGAGCTATGAGTCGGACAACTACTTCGCAATAATTGCATCGGTATGATAATATGATACCATACTTGTTAAGATCTGATTATCAAATTTTCCATCGTGGTTGCCATGATTCACCGGTTCTCCCGGTACGGTGACAATATCATAGGGTAATAACGGTAACTTCCGGATAATCGTAAGCTAACTTATAGCTCTGGTTAGTCATGTAACTAGCCCCACCAAACCCCGCCAAACAACTTCGCAAAATTTTCTAAACCAGAACCACCACCTCCGAAACTGTTCTTGGGTTCAAAAACACAAGGAAAAAGAAAAAAAAATACCCCCTATTCTATAACGACCTTGAAAACGTTCATGACCTTCAAGACGAGCATGACAGCGCCAGTTGACCAAAAACAGGATTTATTCCAAGATATCGGAGCGACAGTCGAGAGCGTTGCGGGTGGCGCCACCAGTCAGGTTGGAAATGACGAGGACCAGACAAACACTGAGGAACCTCAAGTTGTTGACAATATCGGTGCGCCGGCTTAGCTCCTGCTCCGCAACACATGCAAAGCGAGACTAACAGAGGATAATTTACTTCGTTAGAGTCACTATGCATGAACTGCCACGAACAGGGCACCACCAGACTCCTCCTGACCCGAATACCCTTCTTCCGTGAAGTGGTAATAATGTCTTTCGACTGTCCGCACTGCCACTTCCGCAGCAACGAGATACAATCCGCGGGAGTGATCCAAGAGCGCGGGTGCACGTACACCTTCAAAGTAGAGTCAAAGCTTGACCTCGACCGCCAGCTTGTCAAGTCCGAAACCTGCACAGCAAGATTCGTCGAGCTAGATTTGGAGATACCGGCCCAGCGTGGCCAGTTAACTAATATCGAAGGTCTACTAAGTCTCGTGCTGGAAGATCTGGTAGATGGCCAGCCCGTCCGGAAAAGTCTGCAACTGGATGCGTATGAAAAGATCGAGGAGTTTATTAAGGAAGGAAGGGAAATGCTTAACGGGAATTCATTCCCTTTCTCTATCAAGCTGGACGATCCAGCTGGGAACTCGTGGGTTGAGCCGAAGCCGGATGATGCCAGGAACAAGTGGGTTCGCCAGGATTACGTACGCACGCCTGTGCAGAATTCCGCATTGGGTTTGGCGGATACTACAGGTGAACAGGCAAAGGAGGACGATGATGAGGATGAGATTAGACCAGATGAGGTTCATACTTTCCCGGCGAGCTGCCCCAGCTGTGCTAGGGCTTGCTGTACACATATGAAATTGGTTGAGATTCCTCATTTCAAAGAAGTAGTCATTATGAGCACTGTCTGTGATGATTGCGGATGTAAGTCTGCTTTCTAACCCCGAAGCACGCATATCGCTAATATATCGTAGATAAGAGCAACGAGGTAAAAACTGGAGGAGCTGTCCCTTCAAAAGGCCGTATCATAACCCTCAAAGTGGAAGATGAGGACGACTTAGCCCGTGACATCCTCAAGGTTAACCCAACCCCCCCCCCCCTCCTTCCACTAAACAATTCAGAACTTCTAACACCCTCCAGTCCGAAACCTGCGCCCTCCAATGCCCAGAACTCAACCTTGACCTCACACCTGGCACCCTCGGCGGCCGCTTCACAACTCTAGAAGGCCTCCTAACCCAGGTCTACGACGACCTCCACCAGCGCATCTGGGGTGACGTCCACGGCGAGAGCTCAGACTCCCTAGACAAGCAAACGAAGGACCGATGGGAAGAGTTCTTTGCCGGTCTCAGAGATGCCAAAAGTGGGATGAGGAAGTTCACTTGCATCCTCGATGACCCGCTGGCCGCTAGCTATGTTCAGAACTTGTATGCCCCGGACCCCGACCCACAGTTGACGATTGTTGATGTGGAGAGGACGAAGGAGCAAGAGGATGATTTGGGGATCTCAGATATGGTTACCGAGGGGTATGGGGAGAAGGAGACAGGGGAACAGAAGGAGAGGAGGGCTAAGAGCTGAAGATTTCCTAAGAATTCTTGTAATAGATATGGTGTTCTTATAGAGATTTGGGGCAAAGGTTGGAAGTTGGATTTTACTGGCAGCCTATTGTATTCTAGCTTGAATCATGTTCAATCGTCCTCCTAGTGTGTCCGTAGACGGCCTTCACTTGCTACCCACCACATGACAATCAGGATGGCAGGTGAAATTTCTGCGAATTGCCGGTGAGCGTAACGGCAGGAGGCACGACAGCTAGAATCTTCCGGTAGCCGATAAACTGATGTCGTCCCAACAACCGCCCTTCTAGCAAGGTAACCGATCAAATCGACCGACTCCACCATACGGGTATAATACTATCCTGTGTAAAGAAAGTTCAAAAACTCAGGTCTTGCTGGGAGTCGAACCCAGATTACGGGAATCAGAATCCCGGGTGCTAGCCATTACACTACAAAACCACATTACATCCGATCCTCCGCTCTCTCATGTATTGAATTTAGAATTCGCCTATAGCCTCAGGAAATTCCCACAAGTATCATAGATCCCAACACCTTACACCCGGGACAAAGACCACCCCCCGCCTCGCAGGGACTAAACGGCCGCTAACCCGGCCAGTCCCCCAATAATGACATTCCAAAAATGCACCTCATTCAAGTACCATACCAGTATAAAATAAAATAAAAAATGTGCATTGCGGCAGACCTTTCTCAGCTCGCAAGCCCACGGCTCGTCACGAATTCAATATATCCATGAAAATATAACTGCTTGAAAACCCCGCAGTTTTGGTGTCTTCCAGCATCCATCATAGCGTCACCAAAATTTAACGCCTTCCCCAGGAACACATGCCCGAGTGATACTACATGAGAAATACCTTGGCGCTTTGTCATCAAAAAGAGCCTCCCTCGTGCCCCTCCATTGTGTGTGCTGGAAATTTCGCAAAGCTTCGGTGGAAAACCAGAACGTGAGGTTCCCCCGCCAAAAGCAACGACTTCTTCCTCCTTTTTAACAAATAAACCAACCGAAACACGAGCATGTCCGGAATATTCCAGGGATCGAGAAACAGTGGAACTTTGTGTTCGTCTTTCTCGCTCCTCCGTTGAATAAATGGATGGATTGGGGCTAACTGGGGATTCACGGGGCAGTTCTCGGAGGAGAGAAAATTACGGGGTCGGACGTTAGGGATCAGAATGGTAATTCATCTCGCTTTCTATTCGAGTGTGTTAGAGGGGAGATGATATTGATGAGGGTCCGAAATAGTTCTCGCCACGCAAGCTATAGCGAATATCGTCAAGAGCTCGTTTGGTCCTTCGGGGTTGGATAAGATGATGGTGGATGATATTGGAGATGTTACGGTCACCAATGATGGTGCTACTATTCTTGGCTTGTTGGATGTTGAGCACCCCGCCGGGAAGATCTTGGTCGACCTGGCCCAGCAGCAGGATAAAGAGGTCTCACCCCTCTTCCTACTGCATTATCACCTCCGGTTTGCAATGCTGATTATCGGTGGATTGGATAGGTTGGAGATGGAACAACTTCGGTCGTGATTATCGCCGCCGAGCTCCTCCGTCGAGCAAATGAACTCGTCAGGAACAAGATCCACCCAACTACAATTATTACCGGTTACCGTCTCGCCCTCCGTGAAGCTGTAAAATATATGACGGAAGTAATGTCGGTAAAAGTCGAAACCCTGGGAACCGAACCCCTCCTAAGCATCGCAAAGACCTCTATGTCCTCCAAGATCATTGGTTCAGACTCAGACTTCTTCGCGCAGATGGTCGTGGATGCAATGCTCGCCGTCAAGTCCACCAACACAAAAGCTGAAGTTAAATATCCCGTCAAGGCGGTCAATATCCTCAAGGCCCATGGAAAAAGTGCTACCGAGAGTGTGCTCGTTAAAGGATATGCTCTTAACTGCACTGTTGCTTCCCAAGCTATGCCCACGCGGATTCTGAATGCAAAGATCGCATGCTTGGACATGAATTTACAGAAGACAAGAATGGCATTAGGTGTTCATATCACTGTTGACGACCCTAACCAGCTAGAGGCAATCCGACAGCGGGAGTCGGAGATGGTCCTGGAGAGGATAAAGTTGGTTCTGGACGCCGGTGCAAACGTCATCCTCACCACTAAGGGTATCGATGACCTCTGCTTGAAGACATTTGTAGAGAAGGGTGCCATGGCCGTGCGTCGTTGTAAGAAGGAGGACCTGCGAAGGATCGCAAAGGCTACCGGTGCAACACTAGTCAGCACACTTTCGAACCTGGAAGGGGATGAAGTCTTCGAGGCCTCATCTCTCGGATCTGCGGAGGAGGTTTTCCAGGAGCGTATCTCAGATGACGAATGTATCCTGGTGAAGGGCACCAAGGCATACTCCTCCGCATCCATCATTCTCCGGGGGCCAAACGACTACCAACTCGACGAGATGGAGCGCTCAATCCACGACTCCCTCAGCGCTGTCAAGCGCACCCTCGAGAGCGGGAAAGTAGTCCCTGGGGGAGGAGCCGTCGAAGCCGCCTTAAGCATCTACCTAGAGAACTTTGCTACCACAGTCGTACGTTCCCCTCCCTTACATCCCCCCATATCCCCTCCATATGCTAACGGGAATAAACAGGGATCTCGCGAACAATTAGCCCTTGCAGAGTTTGCCTCCACCCTCCTAGTCATTCCCAAAACATTGGCCGTAAACGCAGCAAAGGACTCCTCAGACCTAGTTGCCAAGCTCCGCTCCTACCACGCCGCCTCGCAGACCGCCGCTGAAACTGAGACCAAGAAGCGGAATTACAAAAACTATGGGTTGGATTTGATTAAGGGCAAAGTTGTGGATGAGGTTAAGGCTGGTGTGTTGGAGCCTACGATGAGTAAGGTTCGGAGTTTGGTATGTTTTCTCCTTCCATTCCTCCCTAACCCGAAGTGGATCTAATTTGGCTTGTTAAACATAGAAATCTGCCGTGGAGGCATGCATTTCCATCATGAGAATTGATACCATGATTAAATTAGATCGTAGGTTTTCCTATTATTCTTGCACCCCATTATCTCTCTGCTGAGAAACGATCGCTGACAACGTTTTTTCCTCTCCTTTCGTACCTACAGCGGAGCAAAGACAGGAGGACCCTCACGGGGATCACTAATCTAGGGTTTTAAAGGTGGCTTTCTCAAGCTTGCAATGTCACTATATACTTTTATCGGCTAGAGAAAATAGTTGTACCAAAAAAAAAGTAGAGAAATACAAGTTTTTAGTAGCTTCTATTTTAAACAACCACCTGGTTTTTTTGTCCCCCCACAACAATAACCGGCTGGTCATTTCCTAGATGAGCATGTTCACCATGTTCGTTCCAGTGGTATGAACTCATCCTGCCCGCCCGCCCGCACCGTAAGACTTTCCTCAGCACCGCTCCCTTTGTGAGCAAGCTGAACGACGGGCCTATGAGGTGAATAAAACAACTAAAACCGATTTGTAATACCATTACCACGTTTATCCTATCCAACACCGCACTATCCTCCCGGATGAGCCATCCGGTCGTTCCAAATGGCCAATCCATGTTATCCAGTGTGACACCAGGGTCCATCACCCCCACAGCCCGACAGCGTCACCTCACCAATGCTTGCTCAAGGGACGCACAATGGCACCGCAATACCATTCTCTGCACAGGTGGGGGATATCAAAATCTCCAAACGGGTTCCGGCCCCGTGATTCTCATTTATTACCCGTACGGCACTGTATCCATTGATGTGTGGCTGTGCATATCGCCCAATCATACTAATAATACCCGGGCGCTGCAGCGGCGGGTATTGAATGGGGGTGGTCTTCGACAAAATGTGGATCGAGCGGTACTGTACTAGCACCAGCACAGCATCAGAACCCAAGTAGGGGGGGTGATCTGGTTTAGCACGATTGTGGTTTGCCGTCGTTTACATTCATTCAAATACAAGTACCAGACATGTTGTATGAATGCAGGTGAATGGGAAGATGGTTTACTAAGAAGAGCTCTTTATGTCCCATCCTCCTTCCCTTTTTTCCTTTCTTTTTCATCTGATCCTTTGTTCAATTTCTTACCATCAGGTATCCTTAAATTGCCCAAGGAGGGGAAGAAAGAAAAAAGTACATAAAAGTTCAATTATTTTAATTTTAATCCTAAGTACAGTACAAAAGAGTATTATAGATATGTATCAATCTGTTGGATGTGGCAGGAATGGTGCAGTGCTTTTAACACTGGCACCTAAAACTCAGAGTATTGATACAGTATAGCAAGTAGTACAGCTTAGAGAACAGTTTAAGGATGAGTGATGGAATTTTTGTAGCATGATAGAATAATTTAGTACTATTCCAGAATGGTAAAATAGGTATGGGAGATGGCAGGATGTTTGAGATCCTTATATAGAATACTAAGTTGATGTTAGCTATTGCCAATGCAGATACAGTATATTGTAACAGTAGATATTCTGGAGAGAGGTGATACTATAATATTATATTGAGATAATTCTCCCAGTTAGGAGAATCACTAGCAGTGTATACTATTTAGTAATATAACCCAAAACAGCAACCATGCTAGTGAGCATGATTGATGGATGAGGCCATCACTAGCAGAGTATTTGCATAAGAACATATACCATGCAGATTGAAGATTCATACTACTAAGCAGCAATTTAGAATTAATACCATTCAAATTTAATCCTCATATAATATTTTATATAAGAGCATACCTCTAGTAGTATAATTTCTTCAAAGTTACAAAATAGTTAGATTAGACATTCAACAAAAAATAAAAGAAGAGGGTTTTTTGAGAAAACTTAAAAACTTACTATAACTAACATCAATATCTTCTAAGTAGGATAAGTAAGGAAATCCTATATCAATTTCATACAACAAACCCAAGATCAGTCAGTAAATCCTCCAATCAAATATCATAAAATGGAAGGAAAGAAACTAATATATACTACATACCCACAATTACTCGCTCAACCCATTAACTATACCCACCCCCCCCCCGGGTGGGTGACGGTTACTCATCACCCGGGGAGCATGTGTGGGGTAAGTTGAGGATAAGGAGATTGAAAGACAGGTTGTGAGAGTAAGAAAGTTATAACTACTCACAGCCCCTCTATCAAACCCTCCCGCTTTATCCATTCACGGGCAGGCAACCATTACCGGTCACCCAGAAAGTGTGTATGGGGGGAGGATAGGTTGGGAAGGATAAACGATATTGATATACGCGAGCTAAGGCAGAAAGAGGAGGAAGTGGGATGAATGGTTGGAAATGTTCTTAAAAGTTGTACTAGGAGACTAGAGAAGGAAGGAAGGAAGAGAAGAGAAGAGATAGAGGTCTGGATTTATATTCAATCTGGAAGACACGCTAAGAATAGTGCTAGCGGTGAATTCTTTGTTTTAGCGTGAGGGTGTGATAAACAAAGAGGAGTTCGGGCTACGGTATATGCAACTACACCACATATCATAGGGCTTCCTTTATGTATTCCTATTTCAATAAAGCAAGTGGACGCTTGTATCCAGTAACCTCTCTCTCGTTAACGAATGCTCTTGTAAAAATAGATAGATGAATAAACAGATAGGTAAATAACCACACTTTTATACAGCAGCAAGTAAAACAATAAACACAAGATATCACTCGCCTACGGGACAAAAATACAATCCTTGCTTCCACAGCAAGTAGCTGACAGGAAATGAAGTAGATAACAAAAGACAACAAGAGGAGAGAAGGAAGAGGAAAGCCAGAAGGTAAACCAAAAGGAAAGTACCCCCTACCCCAAAAGCCACCTTACCCCCCAACCTTTCGCAAACCCATATCCCCTGGAGGGAAAAAAAATAGGTGAAAAGAGAACAGAAGACGAAAAAAGCACCAGGAAGAATTAAAAGAATAAAAATAACAAGAACACCTTTTAAAGAACGAAAAAAAAAAAGTGAAAAGGGTAAGACTACATGAAAAGCAGCGTCCGCCGAGTTTCGATTATTCTAGACTCCTGTCGCCCCATCACCTGCCTTGCCCGCACCGTCCACCCAAGCACTCCTACACCCCACCCGGAAAAGGCGAATTCAAACAGATACAAAGAGAAATCATCCTTTCCCCATGTTATCCCCCCACCAAGGAGACGACTTCCGTCATTGTCTTACCTCGCCTTCCCTCTTCGCAAAGTAGTATGTGAGGAGGTTTTGGTGGCCGGACTTCATACCCTTGAGGATTTGGTCAAATAACCTCTCATCGTTTCTAAGCTTGCTGTGCATCTCAATACACATTGATACACAGGCCCTTCTCACTTCCGCGTCTTCATCGTCAAGAGACTGTCGCATAGATGTGTCAGCAACGAACCCACCAACCCGGGTGAGATTATAACAAACCTTAACAGCCAATTGGCCCAGCCTCGCAAACTGAGGCTCCAACGAAGCGATCTTAGATCCTCTGACAAGTGCGGCAAGGCAAGTCAAACTCATGCACCAGCTCTGAGTCGCCTGTCGGAATCCGGGCTTTTCCTGAGGAAGCGAGATGTTCAAGATTGCTTCGATTCCAGTTGTGGGATCCACGATCGCCATAAACTCCTCGACAATCTCCTCGATCCCGGTAGTAACATGAGACTGAGTTGGATATTTACCCCTCAGATCGATAAGAGTGCGCAAAACCAGCGCCTCGTGTCGCGAGAAATAGGGGGCAGTCTTCGACAGCAATTGCTTAAGCACTAGTAGCCCTTGTACACGGAGGTCCGCGGCCCTCTCGGCATCGATCGAATCATCCCCGAGGTACTCCAGTAAGGCTTGAAGCAACTCATCAAACACCTTTCCTCCCTCCCAGATGTCGTGGAACGTCTCGCTATTGTTCTCCTGCAGTACAGCCCTCACGGGGTTTTCCCTCGCAATACCGATCAACTTTCTGAAGGCCTGCGTGTCAATTTCACGATTTTGAAGTCTGGTAATAAGCGTGAGTAAGAGCCGCGAAGAGTGTTCGGGAGTCTTTGGTAGATTGGAATTGCTAATCTGCTTCTTCATCTTAGATCGGTACCATTCACCAGTTCCGGCGGCCGGCCCCTTATCAACTCCAGTGCTCATAGCAACAGCTCCATTCGACTCAATCACCGGGTCTTGGTAGACTTTAATTATCGGATTCTTATCATCTGCGCGAGAAGATCGTCGGCCGGTTCCATTCTGGCTTGCGAGAGACTTTGAGTTGCTTTCCGGTGTAGAGGGTAGGGGTGGTAGATCAGTGACGCTGTCCTGAATATTTGCTCGTGTAGGTGTGACAGGTCTAGGCGCAGGAGGAAGTGGAGGAAGGCTTATCATGGTGATATCCTCATCCTTAAGGTTCTGAGGACTCTCTGGGAAATAATTTCCCTTCTTCAAAGTGGGAGAAAAGTTCCGAGGTGGGCTTCTCATCCCAATTCGAGGAACACTGCCCAGCACCTGCTCCACATCCGCGACCTTCTCCTCAACAACTGCCAAATCTCCATCCTCCTCCACACTCACACCCCAAGCCCTCTTCAGATCACGCACTGTCTGCGATTCAAAGGTATTCAAGATCTTATCAAAGGCCTCCGTGTCCAACCGTTGAAGGTTCTTTAGGAGTCCAGTTAGGGGATTGTAGTTCGGTGCCCTTGTATTGTTAAGCATCGCAATCAACCGGTTGACATAAAGCTTGAAATTAGAGACATCGCCCAAAAATTCATTGGGTGACCCATTGAGATGGGATTCCACGACTTCATTCATCCAAATCAAACATCCATGAATGATCTTGCGCTTCTGAGTAGTGGTGAACGACCCAAGCGCCAACTTCCTAGGGACAACGCCAGAGACACCCATACTGGTTAGAATTCTGAATAGCAACTCTGTAGCTTCCGGTTCTGTCATCAATTGCTTTAAAGCAGGAATGCTGTACGAGGTGATGGGTTGCGAATGTTCGGCATCATCGCCCTCACTAAGGAGCAACACCTTGGGAACAATCTGATCCATCGGCACCACCTTGATCAATTCCGCCAAAACTTCCGGTGCCACAACATGCTCGACTACCTCCGGCTGGGGATCGTTGAGAAGCTTCGCCAGAGTTGGAGCAAACACATCACTTGGCGGGAGTGTCGGCATCTTCTGACCATCATAGTTCGGGGGTGTTCGTTTAGCCAGGATACAGGCAACAATGATCACACCTTCGACCCTCACTTTCCAGTCTACGTGATTCAATTGCTCCAAAACGGTAAGTTTCCGGGCAGCGGCTGGGCTCTGTTGGCGAGCTGGCGTCATGCCACGTGCAAGGCGTTCATGAATTCTCGGAGGCGAATTCATAGTAGGTGACCGCACACCATTACCACGAGCGCCCAGAGGAGACGTTCGAGTGGACGGGTATGTCCCTGTAGGGCTGACCGCACGGGCGAAAGCAGCAGCGTCATGGGTTTGCTTGTCTATCCTATTTCCACCCTTCGCTGGGTCTCTGCGGGGTCGGACGGGGGCGGATGCAAGGCCGGAGGTGGTTGGAGCAGGCGAGGCGGCAACCATAGGCAAAGCTGCCAAAGTCTCGGCGCGTTCAGGCTGGGCCCGTAGGTTACCCCGACTCCTCTTGGACGCGAGTATTGCTTCCTTCACAGAAGGTCTCCCAGGCACGCCAGCGGTAGCGCTTCTACCCAATGGTGCCCTCAAGCTGTTGACACCCTTAAGCTGCGCGGTCGCGGGAGCATTCGGGTTGTCCTTCGCCAATAGTTTCTTGGTGTTGTTATCAAGACCCTCCATCATCCTACCCACGATCATCAGCACGCCCCCAACAAACAAATCACCACAACAACGCAGTTACACTTACACTTCAGCACGCTCAGGCCATATAGAAGCAAATAGCCAATAAGTCAGTCTCATTCCCTCCCTAACACCCGGATTGGCATCGGACATGCCCTTCTTCAAGCACTTCTCAATCAAGTCAGTTCCCCCAGAATGCTCAATGTACGCTTTCTGATCAACGTGAGCTTCCAATAATGCCTTCAGCCATCCGGAAGCATAGCTCCTGGGCTGCACATTCTTGTCATTACACGCCGCCCACATGTGGTGTAAGATCTTCGAGTGGTAGGAAACGTTCGCGATCAGTACCGCCGTAGTAACTTGCCCGAGCTGTGATGTAATCTTCTTCGTTCCTGCGCACAGCTTAATGAAGCTAGAGAGCAATAACTCAACCATGGGGTCCAATCCAGGACCAATGATCTTTGCGAGATCCTTGACTAGCTGACACCCGTTTGTTGCCACCGTTGTCCGTAAAGAATTGACCACCTTCAGGATCCCATCGAGTAACGACTTGATCCCGGCCAGAAAGGTAGTCTGATAATCCCTATAAGCATTACCCCTTACCAGCTGTCGGAGCTTTGTAACGTTTCGATCCCGAGCAGCCCAGTTCCCTTCGGACTCTCTCCCGTCAAAAGACTCCACCATGCTATGAAGGATCTCTTCAAGCTCACGGTTCGTGTTCACATATGCGGGCTCCATTGTATCAAGCTCGCTTCCAGCAAGGCTGGCAACGTATGTGGATGAAGCCATACTCCCGTTAATGCTGCCCGTCATACTATGACCCTGACGGCTTACGCCATCATCTTCGTGGCCATCCAAGGACTTTACAGAACTTCCCATGACGTCACCGGCTCCGGGCAGCCCAAGCTGGTTGACGATATACGTAGCGATTCCTTTCCTTACTTCGCGTTTCTTCAATTCCCGCTTAAGATCTGATTTCGCGTGATCCGGGGCATTCCTAATAAAGGTATAAGTTTCCAAACACAGCTAGCCCCCTTACATCACGAGTGCACCGAAAACTCACTTGAATAGCTCCACGACAACCTCCTTTGAAGCTTCCCTCACAGGCTCGCTAGCATCTTCCAGTGCCTTAATCATAAAAGGTGTAAAACTTCGAAAGGAAAATCCCTGCCCAGCGCTGTGCACCTGCAGAAGCCAATTCAAACTCTCCTGCCTGGCCTTAGGATTCCTACTGCTAAATCCCATCTCCTTGATACCACGCTCAACCTCGTTTGGTGTGGTTCTCCAGAGATCAAGCAATGCGGTCAGTGCTATCGACCGGTTTCGGTCCTTCTGGTCGCCAAGCTTTTCAATGAGGAGCGGTAGAATATGATGCACCTGTGACTTTATACGTGTCTGGTCTTGAAGAGTTACTCGTTTAATCAAGTGGCCCAGGCACGACAAGGCGTGCAGAGAAAGTGTGTTATTGGGGGAGGAAATTCCGATGCGACAAGCCTCAAACAGCAGACTAATCGCTTCGACCTGATCAACACCCATCAGCTACAACCGTCACGGAATCCAGCAAGAGGCTAGTGAACAAACCTGAACAAAAAAGTGCTTCACCTGCGCCTTGACGCTCGAAAACTCGGCAATCTTCTGATCAACGTCTACACCAGCAGGCCATCAGCAACCGAAATCACGCAGATCAAGCCTCAACCGGGGGAAGCCTACCATGGCCCCGGAGCACCACCAATAGGTGTTCTGGAACGTTTGCTTCCACAGACATGGCGCTCTCAGAGTAGTTTTTTTGAAAATGGCAATGAGATGAACGAATAAACAGGAGGGATCGGAGGGCGGAGGAGCGACCCTAAGCAATGGTCTTTCGGAAGGCCCGTTACTGGGGAAATAGCAATGGTTTTATATTTTAATCCACTCTCGTTAGTCAAGCAAGGAGTCCGGCGACGGGTATCGAGGAGGTGGGGATAGATTTTCCCCTTCTCGTACAACGGAGCGATAACGGGCGAGATTTGTAGGGTCGGGTTGATGCCTGCAAGAGAGGAGTAGGAGGAGAAGGTAGAGGAGGGGATGCGATCCGGGCTAAGGAAACTAGCAACGGCTCGCAAGGTGTGATAGGGGAGAAAACTTCTACTCGAGTACACGGGAGGAGAGGGCGGAAATTGTACGGAGCCAGTCGGCGGTAGGAGAGGGGATGGGGAGAGGACCCGTTTCTGTCTTGGGGGGGGGGGGTGTTTACTCTATTCTCCCTTTCTCGCAGTCGTGAGGAAAATTGGAAGAGAGGGCCTTTGCGGGTCAAAACAAACAACAACAGAAAGCGAGAGAAAGACAACGGGCCCCTCCCTGGCCATCCCTACCATTCCGTCACAGCACAGGATAGAACCGTTTGGGTCACATTCGCGAGGGATTTATCCTTGTCCACGCCACAGCACTCTGGTCCCTACGATACGATACAGCGATACTGCACGGGCGATAATTTAAATTTATCGAGCAACCACCACCAGCAGCAGCATCACGACAGTATCATGATACAGTACGAGTACTCCTATCTCAACCCATATGTTATAAAAGCTATAGTCAACGATACTCGAAACCCTCCTTCTCCTGAGCATTCCGTGGAACAGAGTATCATACAATCAGAGGCCCCGCTGTATCTCACCCAAGACAGATTTCCCCCTCCCCAGAAAAAAAGTTAGGGATAAGAAATGCGCTGTTGATATCAACCATCATCACTGGTTGGAAGAAAAAAAACTCAAACCAATACCAGTATGCGTGCTGACGTCGGACCTCACTTTGTGACATCCCGTCGCCTTTTCTCCCGCAGCCATCCAAAACCAGCCCTACTCGTACAGATACACTGCCGACGAGCAAATCAAGAGCCAAAACAAGCAATCCCATCAACAAACATCAAACCCGTCTGGCACAGATACCCGTGTGCATAAAGCCATGCCGGTACTGTATCATGACACTCGTATTGATACGATGCCGGTATCGCATCACCGGTACCTTTTTAAAATAGAAATAATACGATGGGGGGTTGGCATTTGTTCTCGGAGTTATCGATCCCCCCATCCTTCGGGGGGTTGATAAAATCGCCCACAATATCAATTACCGTTATGATATTATTACACATTAAGAATTATCCCGGCTATAGAGTTTCTATCATACCGATGAACGCAAAACGGACTCCAAACCACCCCCATCATGCCCAGCTAACTAACTAACCCCCAGCTCTGCTCTCAAAATACTTCAGAATCTTCTCCCACAGCATCATCAACATCACGTAACTATACAATCCGCACGACATGGCGAGCGCCAGGTACCCCCAGTGCGGCCCGATCGCGATATCAAACAGCAGTTTCCCGACTTTCAGTTTCCTCTTCTCCCCGTCGAGACCGGTAAGGTACGCAACCCCCCCACTCCCATCAACCTCTTCCCAGATCATTGCCCCGCTCTGGCTCCGCTTGCTCCTCCACTCTTTCCACCAGCACCATACACCCGCTGGGAAATCGTCAGCCGGGTTCCTGGCGTAGTAATCCCCGGCTTCGATCTTGCGGCCATTGCCGTAAACGGCATGGACCTTCTTATCCACCATATCGAAGAGCCATAACTGGTCACTCGTTGTCGCTGCGACATACCTTCCATCCCCGCTCATTGTCAGGGCGGAATATTGGCGGGGAAGGGAGGGCGCCGGGCCATCCGACCTCGTGCTATCCGATGCCAGGGGATCGGGAATGACATATATAGGTTCGTGCCTATCTGAGGCGTAATTCCAGACCAATAGGCCCCCTCCAGCTCCCCCCGATACAATGTATGTGTCGGTCAGGAGGAATTCGTGTGAGAAAGCGGTGGTAAAGGCGGCTCGGAGACTGCCGGACAGTATGGATGAAGACTTTGTGCTAAACTTCATGCGCTTTACCGTTCCACCAGTTTCCAGGCCTAGAATGTAGAAATCTGTGCCGACTAGCTTTCCGAGGTTTTCCGTCGGGTGCTGGGTAACCAGACAGACCAGGTGAGTTCTGCATGGCGAGGTATTTATCAGCTACAGTACCCAAATCGAGCACGGCTATCAGAGTCAAAGTTCAGGACAAACCTAGTCATATGAAAGTTCTTCAGGTGAGGGAAGCTCGTAAATCCACTGTGAGGGGAGTTCGTGTCTCCACCCATTTCTTGGGCCCATCGAAATCTAAGGTCAAATTCCCAAATGATCCTTGAGCTCGCCAGCGTCCTAGCCTTCCACCTACTGCGTCCTTCCTGCCCCCCAAAGGACTCCACACAAACCAGATTACTAGGGATGTGCGGTGTTTTGCTATCGCTATCGGGATGAGCATAGGTGACTGCGACGAGTATCTCCCCATTCGCAACCACGCGATCAGGCTTTCTCTTTCCCAAGTTCCAAGAATGCGATAGCGCCGCGGTAGATGCGTCCACTGTGCGAACTCTATACTCCCCGCCCTTTTCCTCAAACACAAAACCCGCCTGCACCGGAAACGGCGTGACACACCCCGCGAGCAACGGGAGCGGCGACGCAACCCAGCCATGTGACCTATTATTCCCCGAAACCACTTCCCTCGGCTTACCCATCACGGGATCCAGCACGCAGGTAACCTTTGGCCCACCCAGCGGCGAGTACGTCAATCCCGGGATAATGCCGGCGCCGGGGCCACCCGGGGGCTTGACCTGAAATACCGCGCAGCCATCGTCCCTAACACTCGCCGGCTTTGTAACGTACGAATTCTCCCGCCTGGCTCCCTCCCCCGCGACGAATACCTCTACAACCCTCCGTCCGAACCAATCCCCCTTCCTATCCACCGGTGGAAGTTGTCGCGCCGCTCTCTGCTGCTTGGGAACCGCTGGGGTTTTCGCTGGGAACGGGCGACCCCAGGCCAGATCTAGCTTGACCACGTTTCGCCAGAGCCGCTTCTGCAGCGTGGAGCTCCCGGGGTAAAGAACGTGGTCCAAACGAAGGGATTCCGGGATTCCCAGTGCCAGCGCGGGTTCACGCCAGAGGAGATCGTTTTCCGTGCAGAAGACAGCGTGGTGAAGGGCGCTACAGGTGAGCGCGACATTTAGGAGAGTTTTGTGGGGCGGAGGTGAAGTGGAGGATGCGGAGAACTTGAGGATGTTGACCAGGATTTCGGTCGGGAGATTCAGAAGTTTGAGTCGTGTGGTGTCCATCGCTAGCCATTTATCTCTCTCTCTCTTCCCCCTTAGCGTTGAACAGTGATGATGCTAGACGTGAGAGGAGAGGGCGGGGGACAGAAGTAAAGTACCGGTTGGTAAGGAGGACGTGAATGACTGCAGGGGGGGACTCAGGTGTCTCGCAGCTCACAGTATCATACCAGATTCCTCCAACCTGAATGATCTGGCCCATTCATCACACTCACACAGAGATAGTATTCGCCAAGAAATTTTTAAGATCCGGGCAACTTGTCAGGAAAAGACCTATGGGGCTATTCCGAATATTTTGTTTTAGAAAAAAAGGCAAGCGGTGCCATCGAAAGCACTTGAAACAGTGGCCACCTCTCTCCTCCTTTCTTTGGGGGGGTCAGGCTAATGAAGACTGTTGTATTATGCCACAATATCGCGGCTGTGCTACCATTCAGTTGTTATCGGTGTCATACAAGTAACGTTGGAGATGCCTGCATTCTCTTGACTCAGATGTCAGGCTCACAGAAGGTCACTCATCGGGTTGTGCGGGTATCATCATATCTTTTGGCGCATGACTTGTCATCGAATGCTTGTAATGTACAGCACGGTAGTTTAGGGGAGGCGACTGGCCAATGTATCCATCGCACGGACATGGTAAATTATTTCATGGCCGCTCGGTCGCTTCTCCCACCTTGCCGGATTAACTGGACAAAATCGGGCATCCCTGTGAAGGGCTCCAATCTCTGTTCCGAGACAAAATCTGCCTAGAGAGCTCGGGAAAATGTGTTGGATCAATTTATTACGAGTGACAATGGATGATTTATGAGGGATCCTGATTGATTAGGCTGTGGCTACAAGTATTGCGCGCTAGTGAAGTGCTAGTGCAAGACTGCTTGGGCTCACTATAGACAAAAGGTCTCGGAGCAAAAGATAGGGAGAGAAAAAAAGCACTCAAATGATAAGAGATTGCCACACTCGTACTTTCCACCCAGTGAGCCCCCAGCACCCTCCTGCCGGCCTTTCCAGCTACCATATTTGGGGGGTGAACCACACGGGCTACTAATCATACCCGAAGATCATTCACCCCCGAGTGAAAGAATGGGGAAACTAGTGAATCCGCAGATGCACAGTAGACACCGCAACAGTTGAAACCCGTTCTGAGCAAACGGGCTTGCAGAGTAGATCAGGTCCGGCTGGCCCGCGGAGATCTGGGCGCCAGGCTGGATTAGTCCTTTCACTCGAGCAGGAGAGCTTTTCGGCTGCTGGCCAGCAATCCAGTACAGCGCAGGTGGCATCCAGCTCTCTTCAGGCAAGGGCCCACCCGCGGCCAAATTATCCTGTCCTTTGCCCGCGAAATACGATGAGGTACCTGCCCCGGGTTGTGCTGTACGAGTACTGTGGGCTCGATACAGACATATATACGGCCAACCTACGGTGGGTCCCCGAGCCTCGGCTAACTGACATCATATTATGACATTTGCACTGTCGCACAACTGTGCGTGAGGTAGAAAGCGCGGGATGGCGAGGTTGCATTGGGGTGTTCCGGGCGCTTCTAGAGGGGACAAGACCCGAGAGTCGAAGTAAATATTCCGCGATACGGGAATAATCGTCGAACATCGCGGCAGGCACCGCGAGGGTGTGAGCTGGACACCGTCGCTCTTGACCCTTTTTCGCGAGAAGTCTTCGGACTCGGTGGTTTTGCGGCGTGGGAGATGGGGTAAAAAAATGGTGAGAAGGAGAGTTCGCACGTTTGGCATGCGGAGTATACCGGTATATATTAGGGGTGATAGCTTCCTGACAAGACGGTCTTCACGGTGGTATGATAGAAAGGCAGAGGACGTTATTGATAAGCTTATAACGCTACTGCAAGGGAATCTTGGCGTTGGAGAGCTTCGGTTGCCTTTTCTTTCTTCCCTGCCTCTTTTTTCTCCCACTTCCGTCAATCACGCCTAACCCACCACCCGCCGCCTCACATCACCCAACCCAACTCCGAGAAGGGCCACCGCCCTCTATTTAACAGGAGAGGGGTAGAATAACCATATCCTCCCCACAATCACGGATACCCCACAGGTAAATCCAATTCGCAATGGCATCACCAAGCTCTCCGGTGAAGAAGCGACCGCGAACACAATCCCTCCCCTCACTACCAAGCCTCACGGCGGAGCAAGCCGTCCCCATCTCGGCTGAGGACAGAGATTCAAAACGGCTAATTGTCGTCCTGGCGCGGGCGTGCCTCGAGACGCACAAAGTCTCGGCCAACGGAGGGGAGAAGTACGTCCTTCTCAACTCCGACGATCACATTGGAGTTTTGAAGAAGATGGGTCGAGATATCAGTGACGCCCGGCCGGATATTCTCCACCAGGTCTGTTTGAATTCACCCCATCCGCTGTCCGTTTTCTAGTCCCCCCCCCCCACGATCCCCATTGCCCTCACATATTGCAGGTCTTCCTTCTCCTTCCCTTCTTTCGCACAGTCCGAAATAAGGGTTGGCGCGGAGGAGGATTTCAGACATCCATAAACACACATACCTGCAAGAAGAGCGTTCGCCAGAAGTTCAACCTCTCTAACGGGACGTGCAACATATTGCGCTTTCAACAGTGCCTCCTCACACTACTGGACAGTCCCGTGAACAAAGCCGGAAAGCTCCAAGTCTACATCCAATCCACCAAGGGCGTCCTCATCGAGGTGAACCCTACCGTGCGAATACCGCGGACGTTCAAGCGCTTCGCTGGTCTAATGGTGCAACTGCTACACAAGCTGTCCATCCGATCGACCTCTTCCAGTGAGAAACTGCTCAAGGTCATTAAAAATCCCGTCTCTCAGTACCTCCCGCCGAATTGCCGCAAGGTGACGCTATCCTGGGAAGCGCCCGTTATGAACGTCCGGGAGTATATTTCCGGACTTGAGGACAACGAGAGCATCTGCGTTGTCGTGGGCGCCATGGCAAAGGGAAAGGATGACTTTGCTGATGGGTGGGTTGATGAAAAGATTGGTGTCAGCAATTACTCGCTGTCGGCGAGTGTTGCTTGCAGTAAGTTTTGTCATGCTGCCGAGGATGTTTGGGGGATATTGTAGTGTTTCCCTTCCCTCCTTCACTGTACTGCTACTTGTCGATAACTTCTTTTCTCCTTTTTTCTCTTCACTTCTCCATTCTTCCAGTCAAACCCCACAACAAAAAAACAAAAACATACGAAATGGGTACTATAAAGAAACTAAAAAAACAGGGGAAAAATTACCAGCCCATGGCGTTCAACAGGCATTGGGTTACATGGCCTTTTTTTCTCTTTTTCTTTTTTTTTCTAGGTTCATTCTCATCTCTCCGTACTTCTTGATCGGTCTCCCTAGGGATTCTTGTCTTCGTTTTAGAAAAGGAAAAGGGCGAATACCTCAACGTATATTATTGTTGTCAGCGTTGTCTTTTTTATTTTTATTTTATTTCTACGTCGATTCTCATGTCTACGATATGCTGTTTTTGCTGGGACGAGGTGTGGTGGTCTAGTTTTCAATAGTACTTGTACTGATACTGTACTGTACTCGTACCGGTAACTTACTCGAGTTGCTGTCAAGTTGAACCTGCCACTGCGCTCGTACTGTATGAACGAACGAACGAACGAATAAAGACTCGCCCGCCACCATTGGGGGGTCTATCTCTGCACATACATGCAAGTGATTGTTTTAGGAATCTTTACCATGGTGATGCGTGGCAGACCAGACGGGCCACATGAACGAAGAAGGGCTGGTGGGCCAGCGGTTTAAGATATGCAGTCCTTCCGAAATAAAGAGTCTTCCTCATCCTCCTCTTCCTTCCTCCTTCGCTGATTCTCTTACCCTCCTCCTCCTCCAGCCTAACCAAATTCCTAGAGTCGAAAGAGCGAAAAAAAACGAAGAGAAAAAAATAAAAAAGAGAGAGAGAGAGAGAGAGAGAGAGAGAGAAGCACTGAG